CTCGTTTCAACAAATGTGATGATGATGATATGAAACACACAACAAGCAGGAACATAATTAACAGTTGGTACTTTGAACATGAAGTGAGTTAATTACCTGGAATTCGTTTTTATTAGGTTGGCAAAAGCAGTGAAACAAAATGTCTCTTAAATTATTACAATTTCATCCCTTCTCAAGACTCATCAGCATCAACTTATTGTAATGACCTTTTCAGTGGTAAAGTGGATATCAAGAAGAAGAAGCTGCAATGTGTCATAAAACAGCAGCATTTGATTCTTACTCAAGGCTGCGGGGCAAAAAAGTGTAAAAATGAACAATGTGTTTCATCAGGTATTTAATGATATTATCATTACCATCATAATATTAAAATGATGATATGTATAGTGAGTGGTCATCACTATTTCATTTATTGTAGGTAGCATCAACTATCAAGGGTTTTACTTACTTGATCGCAAATATAAATCAAATAGGCTCATTTACAGGTAAAACGATGCCCATGGATCCCAATTCTGCTGCAAAATGTGCAATAGATATATACAGACACAAGAAAGACAGTCTGCCAGATGCAGAGGTATTGAAATTACATGTTTTTCACAACCTAAATCCAATTGTGGTATTTTTGTAATGATGTAAAGATGAGTTAGCATTGTCCAATCTGTCTGCTTTGAGTACCCAACTAATGTCTTTTTTGTCTAACAAAAACGTACAATCTGTAATATTGAAATACCTCAATTTCCTCAGGTGCTCTCTTCACACGAGATATTCTCGTTAGTCAACCATAGCTCAGGACCTTTGTATGAGCTTCTGACTCCAACTCTCAAATCTGTGCTATCTGATCCTGACAAGCTTTCAAAGAGCTTTACACAGGTTCGATTTTTTGTATTCGTATTATATCAGTTTGTTCTATTGTTTTCAGTTCTATTATCTATATCCATTATCCTGATGTTGTAATGCATTGTGAGTCATCAATCAAGGGAAGCAACAAATTTATTGAATGCTAATTATAAACAATTTATTGCAGGTTGGTATTTCTACTGCGCCTGGCATTGTAACGATTGACAAGGATGCATTGGAGGAATCGTACGAAATCTTGTTTAATCTGGACAATCCGGAGCTGGAAGAAACCATTTGTGACAGCTTTAGGTGGGTGATATTGTTTTGCGTCTACTAATTTCTGTAACAGTGCACGATACAAAATTAGATTCCTAGTTACTATCCTTTTTAATTTGTAATTTGTCCTAGTCTGCTAAGTGATACACAATTTTCAGTGATATGGTAGCACTTTTACTAAAGCGTGTGAAGGACGATTCAAAGGAGAGTAAAAACCTGATAAATTGTTTTGTGATCCTACTTTTAAATCCGAGGTTACAGAACCCAGAGTATGCTGGCGGCTGCTTAGCAGGTTCCTATAAAATTTAAATTATATTTAATATATTTTTGATGAACATTATCCATGTTAGGGCATGTTTTATATAGAAACAGAAGGTGATTATTATTCACAGTCATTTACATGTCATGCGATAAATTAGATTTCACAAGAATTGTCAAGATTTTAATGATATGTCGAAATAATATTCCAATGATATAATGTTAACTAATAATATGCCAAGACTTTACCAAATATTGCCTTCAGATCTCTGTGCATGTCTGTCAGTTCTACGAAATGGTTATAAAGTGAATTTGATTCATTACATATCGACATTACCCTCAGATACCATAACTGAAATGATATACAACTTTCAACAGGTATTTTCTTTTGCCAATGGTGATATACTAATATTTTTCAACGATGGTTTCTAATTCAATTTGTTTCAATCTTAACGTTGTTGCGAGTAAAAACAGTCCTCGTTATCGTCGAATTAGGGTCACACAGCTAAGTATATTTGACTGAAACAGAAATAGAAAAGATTATACTGATTCCTCATCCTCAGGTGATAGCGATAGGAATAGCACTACGTGAAGACGAGGACGAAACCCTACACAAAACAAAAGCAGTGTGTGACGGAGTGACAGGGTTACAGCTACTGTACGGGGCTGTGGTGTACCGCGCGCAACACACCATCCACCACGTGCTGGGTGATCTCAGCATGACCAAACAACTGTCCAGGGAGATCAGCACGCCTGTTACCCCCTATACCAGTAATAATCTTATAGAGGTTATAAGTTCATCTAGTGGGGTGGTTGTAGCTGATGATACTGATTCTGCTGCTTCAGAAGTTGAAATGAGTAGGGACACTGGCGAAGCTGTTAGGTCCGGAAATGGTCCTGATGACAAAACCAATTCCGTGGCTGAAGACTCAAGTTCAGTTGTGGCAAGAGAGCCTGGATATTCGAACCCTGATCAAAAACCATCGGACTCCAACCCGATAACCAATCAAACACTAAACGAACCCATCAAACAACCAGAAAGTAGCTCTTCTCCGAACACAGATACTGGTAGAAGTGGAAACGGTCCAGATCTATCTAGGTTAGTACTCCAGACCAGCCAAGAGAGTGTTGATACCCCTACAGAGAGTGTTGATACCCCTACGGAGAGTGTTGATACCCCTACGGAGAGTGTTGATACCCCTACAGATAGTGTTGATACCCCTACAGACAGCGCTGACGGCGGTGTCACGACTGACGAGACTTACTCGACTGACATTTCTGAGATTTTCCGTGCTGTGTACCCTGGAATTGAGGAAATTGGATTTTTGAGTGACGATGAAGATGACACTGATGACGACTTTACGAACGTCACAGAAACAACTAACAGAACCGACAACAACAATACAGCTGGGGGCAATAACCAAGAGTTCTTTATACGGTTTAACATAAAACCAATAACATTAAAATTGCTTCATACATGTTTTATCATTTGACTTAAATTGATATTTTTATGAATTTTCCTACACGATGATAGACTATATACCATGTTGTTTGGTGTGTGGTCATACCTGGTAATAATTAGGAAGTTTATTCTCTTTTCAAGCAGTCATCACTGAATTAATCCTCATTATATGAAATTACTCAGGTCGATAAGTGCTCTGTCGGAGGAGAACTCAGCCAACTTACAATCAGCTTCTGATGTTTTGTTTCCTCTACTTGCTGCTATGGAAGGTACTTTATCTCCTACTTTTAAGTTTTATCTAGTTTAGCATTCTGTGCAGCTATACTGTGTACCTTTTACAGTTAATCTACTTAATTTTTAATTGCAGACAAATTCTCATTCTTCTCTTCCTGGATTACATATTGTATTAAACTTTGACAGGTGATATGGCAGAGTTTGAAGATTTGGAAGATTTAGAAGATGGAGATGAAGATGACGAAGATGAAGGTGATGAAGACGACCAGAACAACTCTCCCCCAGTTGAGAGTGCTCGTAGACTACTGGACTTTGCTAGTCCTGTAGTAGGTAATCAGAGCACTGTATTAGATAAGACTGTAGTAGATAAGAGTGTCCCTCTAAACTAGATCAATTTTAATCAAGAGCAAAAATCAATCGCTTTTATTTTATTTCCTCGTGTCACAACCCCTGGCATTATGAGAACATATGATCAGAACTTAACAGAACTCCCCTCAGACGGTGACGACACTGAGAGCTCAGACGAGGACGATCCTCTGACCAGTTTCTTCAGAATACAGATGAACGGTTTACTGAGTGGGAGGTCCCGATCAAGAAGACCTGAACCAACTCCCAAACTATTCACTAAATTAGGTTCTAGTTTTAATTATTTTGTTTTGTCATTTCCGAATGAATTTTCTCGATGTACAGCTTTTTCTGGTTTATATAAGCTGATTTAAATAAATAATTCCTTAAGCGTCATATTGAATTATAAAAATGTGTTCAAATTACTAAATATTTAACTCAAACGTCAGAAATTCTTTAGATGATATACCAACCAGGCAAAATACAACCATTTTAATCGAACGTTTAATCGCTTTTGCTGAACGGACGTCATAACCCTCTAACTATTCAGGTATAAAGCCACTGTGGGACTCACACACGAACATTGACCTGTCTTTATTCTACAACGACAACATTTCACAAGAGCTAAAGATGGACGAGGATTACATCAACTACAAGTCAGGGAAGGGCTTTGCGTTCCTTCACTATCCGTTTGTATTGAGACCCCATGTCAAGAGTGTAGGATTACAGTTTGATAACAGGTCAATAAATTAGGTACAATCGTTATATTATATATAATATATAATATATTTTAATATTATATAGCATTAGCTTAGAATTTGCCAAGTTTCTTTTGAAATACAGTAATGTGACTGATAGAGACTGTTGTGACTTATCTCATAAAAGGCGGTCAAATATTTCATGTCTTCTTCTGAATATATTATATATTTTTACCTCTGAATCCCCTACAATGTTAATGTTTTCTCACAGGATCAACATGAACAGATCAGTTAACCCCTTCCTTCTACTGATGTCTGGAGAATACCCTTACTTAAAACTTGTAGTGAAACGTAACAACCTCGTCGAGGACGCTTTGACTCATCTAGAAATGGTAGAGATTTCATTGCTTTTCAATTTAAATTATAGTTTAACATGGCAGCAAATTTAAACATGTTTAAAAGTACAGTTTGAATACCCGACTTTTGTGGTTTCCCACTTTGATTTTAGGAATATCTGTTTTCACACATACAGCAATCATTTTTGATATTTTCTGACTGTCCTCGTAAAATGCTCCTACAATTGTTGACTCATCTCTTCAAACCCTTTCAACGTCACGTGACACTTTCCCTCAATTACAGGTAGCAGAGGAAGAACCTCAACAGTTACAAAGACAACTTTACGTAGAGTTTGAGGGGGAGGAGGGGGTGGATGAGGGAGGGGTCTCTAAAGAGTTCTTCCAACTCATCATAGCAGAACTCTTCAACCCTAACTATGGTGAGTCTGTGAGAGGATGATTTACTTATATTAAATAATTAATTTAGAGAACAGTTAACTATTCAACCCAAACTATGGCACGAGAGAATAATTAATTAATTTAGAGAATGTAATTAGCTGATACACACATTCCCCTGTGTTGATCTGTTGTTTTCTCGCGTGATTTGATTTTAGACCACGTTAACTAACTATACATTATAGTATGATATTACATAATATAATACAATATAATAATAATAATAATAAGTAGGAATTTATACATCGCTTTATAGCCATAAAGAACTCAAAACCCAAAGATTCAGTTCAAACCATCTAAAGCGACTCATGAGTAACATGTACATAAGAACTTATTTTTATGAAGTATGGATTTTATGAGAAAGGTAATACATGATACTTATACAAATACGTTTTCAAAGAGATGAGTTTTTAGTTTCTTTTTAAATAAGACGATATCGGTTAGTGTTCTCAATTGATAAGGAAGCTTATTCCAAACAGAGGGTCCGCAGTAGCTGAAACTTCTCTCGGTTTTACTATAGTTTGAAATAGGAGGAACATTTAGGAGGAAATAGTCTTCTTCAGTTCTTAGTACACGTACAGGTTGACTTTTGATGTCAATACATTTGATGATATACTCCGGCGCTATGTTGTTAACGCATTTGAACACGGTTAGAGCAATCTTATACTCTATTCGTTGTCGTATCGGAAGAAAATGGGCTTTTTTCAGGAATGGAGTGACACTGTCCCATTTTTTGATAGCTTTCCAACCAAACAAGAATCGAACACAGGAATTTTGTACCTTCTGGAGTTTCTTTATTAGAAGATCAGGTAAACCGTATAAGAGTCCATTGCAGTAGTCTAGTTTTGAAAAGATCAAGCAGTGAATGAGCTGTCTTTTTAGATCATAGTTAAGCTTTGAGCCTATAACTCGAAGGTTTCTCAGATGGATGTTGCAGCAACTGATAATTGAATTTATTTGGTCTTCAAATGTTAGGAATTGATCAAATAGGACACCTAAACTTTTCACTGTGCGGGATGCATCCACAGGGTCAGCTGCATTGTCAAGTTGTATTGAATCGACTGGACATGAAGAGTAACTGTTCTTGGTCTGTACTACAAGAGCTTCTGTTTTGTTTTGGTTCAGTTTGAGTTTATTTTGGGTCATCCAGGTCTTAATATCTTCAAAACAATTTGTTATTCTCTCTTCGATTGTTGAGAGATCTCGAAATAGTGGGTTAAACTCAATGTACAGTTGAGTGTCATCTGCGTACATGTGGATGTTAAATCCATGTCTCTTTGCGATCTGATTGAGCTCCTTTGTGTAAAGTATAAACAGAATTGGACCTAGAATTGAACCTTGCGGGACTCCAATTCTAAGGAAGCATCTCTTTGATCTTGATTTATCAATAGTTACTGTGAAGGATCTGTTATTAAGGTATGATGTAAACCATTCGAGAACAGTACCTTCAAAACCAAAGTCCTTTTTTAGTTTTTTTAGGAGCAAGTGATGATTTACAGTATCAAAAGCAGCACTGAGGTCCAAAAGGAGGAGGATAACCTTACTTTTCATGTCACTGATACAAAGAAGATCATTGTAGATGGTAAGGGTCGCAGTTTCGCAGCTATGATTTGACCTATAACCACTTTGATGCTCAGCATGAAGATTGTGATAGTCAAGATGTTTGGTCATCTGTTTCTGGACGCTCTTTTCAATGAGTTTCGAGAGGAAAGGTAAGTTACTAATCGGTCTATAGTTGTTGAAGCTATTGACATCTCCTTTATCATCTTTGATGGCTGGTCTGACAAGAGCACTCTTTAGGACTGACGGAAATTTTCCAGTGACAAGTGAGTCATTGATAATAAATGACACAATTGGTTTAACTTCATTAAAACACTGCATTAGAAGTTTTAGAGGGATGGGATCCTCTTCACATTCTTTTTTGTTAAGGTCAGAAAGAATCTTTTTGAGATCATTGTCGCTTATGGTTTCAAATTGGCTCCAGGCTTCACCTTGAAATGGTTCAGAGTGGTCAAGAAGAATGTCAGCTGCAGTATCATTGTTAATGGCAGAGTAAATCTTTTCCACTTTATCATTGAAAAACTCTTTCATCTCCTCACATAGAGTTTCAGCAGGTTTGTTATTAGGCTTCAAGTTTTTAGATATGTCCCGATCCATCAGCTGATTGACTATTTTGTAGGTATCTTTTTTATTATCCTCACAGCTTTGCAGACGATTTTCATAGTATAGCTGTCTAGTGGTGTTTATAACTGCCTCGGCATGCTTAACAGCTTTTTTATAGTCTAATTTTGAATCTGCAGTTTTAAGTCTCCTGTTGTCACGTTCAGCTTTTCTTCGTTTCCTTCTGGCAGTTTGACATTTTGTGTCCACCCACTTGCTTTGATCAGGATTAATGCTAAAACAGATAAGGGGAGCATGTTTATCAAGAATTCTGCGAAGTTCCTTGTTATAGAGTTCCGTGGCAGAGTTGCAGTCAATAAACTTGTTGGGGTCATTTATGTCAGATAGCAACATATCCTCCTTAAAAAGATTTATGTCTATATCTGATATCTTTCTGCCCATTATATCTTCTTTGTTGCTTCCTTTGTGGTGAGGAAAGGCAATAGAGAAATTTACGAAGTAGTGATCAGATGTTGTTACTGTTTTAGCTACATCTATATCTTTTATGTTCAACATATCACACGCATTGCTTCTAGTAAGAACAAGGTCTAAGATTCCACCCCCAATGTGTGTTGAACTGGAAATATGCTGGATGAGGCCATAGTTTGATATGAGATGGATAAAATTTATCGTATCAGGATCAGTGAGGTCTTCGACATGGATATTGAAGTCTCCAGCAATGATCAGTCTACCTGGAAGGTGAGTTAGACTGTCAAGATATTCATCAAATTCCCGTAAAAAGTCTGTCATTTTGGACATTTTAGCCGTACAAGATCGATAGACACAGCAGAAACGAAGAAGGTCATTGGAACTTGACTTCAGCACACTCTCAACATGTTCAAAGGATTTATGGGTCTTTGTAGGGCGTTTATTGAAGCTAAGATCTTTCTTAAAGGCAATAGCGACACCACCTCCTCTACCAGCTCTAGATTGGTGAACAATATTATAGCCTAGGTCTTTAATTTCCGCTATTTTTGACGTATCTCCCTTACGTAGCCAAGTTTCTGTCAGGAAACAGGCATTGATATTGGAGTCAGACAGTTGCTCAAATACTTGTGCAGTTTTATTACATAGTGACCTCGTGTTAAACAGTCCGACATTTAGGTTGAGAAGCGTAGTCTTCACATGTTTTTTGAGTACTCTGTTCTTTGTCTAAGACTCTCTTTCTCCAGCATTATTATGGGACAGTTTTCAGCACCAGAGTGATGGGTGTTACAAGATTCTCTGTATGATTCATAGGTGGAGTGTGAGCAGTTGGTGCATCTGTGACTTCTTCTGACCTCTTTGTAGGGACAAGCCCGTGTTATGTGTGATGCACTACAATACATGCAAATAACATCAGTTTCGTTGCACTGAGATGAAATGTGTCCCAGTTTCTGACATCGGAAGCACTGCTTAAGATCAAATCTATCAACTACTTTACATCTGGAATTTCCTATGTAAATGGACTGATTGTTTAACAGGAAATGCCTTATGTCAGGAGACACTTTAATCCCAACAGTAGTGTAGTCTCTTCCATAATTGACATACACAACTTTAAATGTTCTATCATGCTTAGTCACCAAATCTTTAACATATTGATTCTTTTCCAGAAGCTTCAATTCCATAAAGGTTTTAACCTTTTCTCGAAATTCAGGAACTGATAGATTTTCAGAGACAATGTGGGAGATTAAGTTGTTTGGGATATTCGTAACTGTGACTTTCGGGAACATTTTCTTTGCATCATTAACAGTGATTTTGGACGAAGTTACAGCTGATGAGTTTGCGAGGGCTATTTTCCCATCCTCTCTATCTTTTTCTGAAGGGAAGGAGATAACAATTTTGCCTGTCTTTGGTTTAGGGGTCAAGAAGATCATGGGTATTGTACCAAGGGCTTTACTAGCTAGCTTCCCTGCTTCCTCAAGATTAGTATTACTAGCTTCTACATTGAGGACGATAACATGATTATCAGGAGAATTATTATGGATATTGCCAGAGGGAAGTTTTTGCATAGGAGTTTCCTTCTTGGTTAGTTCTATGTAGTTCTCAGTAGCAGTACTAGTGGAGCTATCTATAGCCGATTCAGGAGACAACGCAGCACTGTAGCTCTTTGAAGATGAAAGTGAACTGGTAGTCTTCATTGGGGAAGCAATTAAAGAACTAGGTGTTTGCAGGGCTAGGGCTGATGCACTACTAGGGATAGATGATGCACTACTAGGGGTGCTGGATCTTCGTGTAAGATTTGGTACTTCTGTGAGCAAAGAATCTATGTGTGATTTAAGTTTGATGGAAATAAGTTCTTCTACACTTGACAGTAAACTTACTTTAAAATTGCTCAAAGTTTCAATCAATGCCTTCTCATCTCCATTGCTTGAAGTTGTATCAGTAGTGGTAGTAGTCCCACTTTCAGTGCTAGCCACACTTTCAGTGCTAGCCACACTCTTGGTGTTAGCCACACTCTTGGTGCTGTCCATGCTTGTATTGCAAGTTGAGTCCGCAGTTTTAACAGCAGTTTTTGCAAGGAGAGCTTTCTTACAGTTAGGACATGTCCAGCCAAAGTCACCATATCTTTGAGAATATGTATTACCGTGTTTGTGAATTACTGGCAAAATATTCGTCAGGAAAGTCCGTGAACAAATAGACGTGGGCATAAGTGTGCCAGCCTTATCCTTACAACATGCGTGGAAAACGTCTTTACATATCTGACAAGAAATGGACTCATAGGCCATGTTATCACTTTTACACCGACAACACAGCCCTTTGAGATTAAACTTGGGGACTGTTTTTGGGTTAATGGCACTTTTCTTTAGGGGGGCTTTAGAATCTTTAGAAAAATCTTTAGAAAAATCTTTAGAAACATCTTTAGAAACATCTTTAGAAACATCTTTAGAAACATCTTTAGAAACATCTTTAGAAACATCTTTAGAAACATCTTTAATCTTTAGTATAGGTTTTTTTATTTTAACAGTACCTTTTTCTGAGGGCTTCTTTATCTTTTTCTCTGCTTCTTCACTGCTGGGCGTTTGGCCTGCAGCCTTGTCATTTTTCATAGCTTTGAGGCTCGGGATCATACCTCAAATTATTTGTTATATAGTAGTGTTGAAAGTATTAAAAATTAAATTATATACGTCTACAATACACATCGGGGGGGGGAGTAATGACTACTTTTGGGGACTTGGGGAATTACGTCAACGATTTTACCCCGAGTCCCCATGATTTTTAGTCCCCATTAGTCCCCAAAAGTCTCCATTAGTCCCCATTTAGATTTCAAAAAATCTGGCTTTTCCAGACCAGATCGTAAACTTCTCAAGACTGAAGTCTAGAATATTTATAAATGGTCACTGGACATTCCTGACTTCTTGGGAGCTACTTGAGGGCTGTTAGAGTACCTCAGGTAAATTAAGGGAGGGGGCGGGGGCGACTACCTATACCAATGACAACATTGAGGAGACATATTGCATATATACGCTTATTTTATCAGATTGATCTAGTAACACGAGTTGTAGCGCAAGGAAAATAAACGCATTATCAATTTTTCTTATTACTTTTGTATTGATTTGTTGAAATGATATGCTCAGTAATTTGAAATTGGCGTTGGTTTCTTTTGTTTTTGACGATCATTTATGGAAATATTCACAAAAAGGATATTGGAAAGCCCTGTCAGGTGGTGCAGTACCGTTACTCTAGAGACCTGTGCATCGTGCAAGGAGGGGGGGGGGGGTCCAACCCGATTTCCGATATGAGGGTTGATGAGGCCAAAATCGGAATCGGAAAAATCGGAAAATTGAGAAATTTACAGAATCGATCTCCCGACTACCATGAGCCTAAAACCTCTATATTGTTATGTTTTATGTGTTTTTCCACTGCAGGGGCTAGTATGCTCACTACTAGTCGGAGTTGTCATGTACTCCCAGACCCGAGTGCTTCGGCCTCTTGACGTGAGATCGATTGTTTCTGCTCATTAATTTTATCCCTGTTACTTGTTTTTATGTATTAGTACAACACTAGGTACCGGGTTATATTTTGTGGTCCGGTCTTTAAACATACCATAATATCACTAGTACAGGGGAGGGGGGGGGGAGCCAAGCGGATATTTGTAGATATTTGGATAATGTCATCCACTTTTTTCGTGAATTATCCATTACAATAATGTACAAATATCTACATTTATCTACAAAAAATGTATATCTCAAATATGTGCCCAGAAATTCTACTGAATTTTTGGAAATAAATGTATAAATTTGTAGAATTTGTAGAATTTTCGTGAATCATCCATTGACAATAATCTACAAATATCTACATTATTTTATCTACAAAAAATGTAATATCAAATATGTGCCCAGAAATTCTACTGAACTGTTGGAGATAAATGTCTAAATTTGTAGAATGTCATCCACTTTTTTCGTGGATTATCCATTCTACATTAATCTACAAATATCTACAAATATCCACTTGGCTCCCCCCCTAGTACACTGCACCTTAAATGTATAGTCAATTACATTTGTATTGTAACACATGCTTGGCTGGGGGATCATGTTTTGTGTCCGTTCGGTACCCTTTATTTTCAAAACGGACAAAAAGTAGGGCGGACAAAAACGGACAAAAACAGACAAAACATTTCGATGTCCTCCTACTCCCTAGTCTTCCTCCTCCTTCTCATCAGTCCTCTTCCATCTCCTCCTCCTGAGTCCTTCTCCTCCTGAGTCCTCTTCAGTCCTCTTCCTGGCTCTTCGTCCTCCTCCTCGTCCTTCTCCTCAGTCCTCCTCAGTCCCCTCCTCCTCAGTCCTACTCCCAGTCCTTCTCCTCCTCCTCCTCATCCTCATTTATCATCCTCCTCCTCCTTCTCCTGGCTCCTCGTCCTTCTCCTCAGTCCCCTCCTCCTCGGTCCTACTCCCAGTCCTTCTCCTCCTCCTCCTCCTCCTCATCCTCATTTCTCATCCTCCTCCTCCTTCTCCTCCCCATCAGTTCTCCTCAGTCCTCCCCATAGTCGTCCTCCTCCTGAGTCCTCCTCATCCTCCTCCTGAGTCATCCTCCCCAGTCCTCCTCCTCCTTCTCCTCCTCCTCCTCATCAGTCCTCATCCTCTGTCCTCCTCATAATCGTCCTCGTCCTCATCCTCGTCCTTAGTCCTCCTCCTCCTTATCGTCCTCCTTAGTCCTCCCCCAGTCCTCCTCCTCATTCTCCTTGTTCTCCTCATCCTCCTCATCCTCTTCCTCCTTCTCCTCTTTCTTCTCCTCCTAATCATTCCTCCTCCTCAGTCCTCCACTAGTCATGCTCGTCCTCGTCCTTAGTCCTCTTCCTCCACCTGAGTCCTCCTCCTCCTCTTCAGTCCTCCTCCTCTTCAGTCATCCTCCTGAGTTCTCCTCCTCATCCTCCTCCACCTCCTTAGTCCTCCTCCTGAGTCATCCTCCTCTTCTTCCTCCTCAATCTCCTCCTTATCCTCCTCTTCCTTCTCCTCTTCTTTCTCCTGATCAGTCCTCTTCCTTAGTCCTCGTTATCATCCTCCTAATCCTCGTCCTTAATACTCGTCCTCATCCTCTTCATTCCTCCTCCTCAGTCCTCCTCCTCCTTCTCCTCCTCATCAGTCCTCCTCCTCCTCAGTCCCCCTCCTCCTCAGCCTCCTCCTCCTCCTCCTTAGTCCTCATCCTCAGTCCTCCTCCTCCTCATCCTCCCTAGTCCTCTTCCTCAGTCCTCATCCTCTTCCTCCTCAGTCCTCCTCCTCAGTCCCCAGTCCTCCTCCTCCTCCTCCTCCTCCTCCTCCTCAGTCCTTCTCCTCCTCGTCAGTCCTCCTCCTCCTCCTCCTTCTCCTCCTTCTCCTCCTTCTCCTCCTTCTCCTCCTTTTCCTCCTTCTACACCCGAAGTCCTCCTCCTCCTCAGTCCTCCCCCAGTCCTCCTCCTCATCTGCATCAGTCCTCCCCCAGTCCTCCTCCTCATCAGTCCTCCTTCTCCTTCTCCTCATCCTCGGTCCTCCTCCTCATCATCTTCCTCCTCATCATCCTCCTCAGTCCTACCCCAGGCCTCCTCCTCAGTCCTCCCCAAGTCCTCCTCTTCCCCAGTCCTCCTTCTCCTTTTCCTCATCCTCAGTCTTCTTCCTCATTCCACCTCCTCCTCCTTCTCCTTCTTATCAGTCCTCCTCCTCAGTCCTCCTCCTCCTCATCTTCGCTCTCGTCCTCCTCCTCAGTCCTCCTCGTCCTTAGTCCTCCTCCTCCTCCTCCTCCCCGTCCTCAGTCCTCCTCCTCCTCCTGAGTCCTCCTCCTCCTCATCATTCCTCCTCCTCCTCTTCAGTCCTCCTCCTGAGTCCTCCTCATCCTCCTCCACCTCCTGAGTCCTCCTCCTGAGTCTTCCTCCTCCTCCTCCTCCTCATCAGTCCTCATCCTCCTCCTCAGTCCTCTTCATCCTTAGTCCTTCTCCTCCTCCTCCCCGTCCTCAGTCCTCCTCCTTCTCCTCCTTCTCGTTTTCCTCCTCCTTCTCACCAATCCTGCTCCTCTTCCTCAGTCCTCCCTCTCCTCTTCAGTCCTCCTCCTCCTCAGTCCTCCTCGGTCCTTCTCCTCCTCCTCAGTCCTCCTCAGTCCTCCTCTTTCTCCTCAGTCTTCCTCCTTCTGGGAGGAGTAACTGTAAGATTCTAAGGAGGAGTAACTGTAAGATTCTAATCGATCATCATTTTCCCCGATAATGTCCATGCTGATGGGTCAAAAGATTCAAGAGTTCAGCGAGTCGGCTACTTCTACCTTCACGAGAGCTAAACTTCAATTTACCTCAATCTGAACTGACTTGTACAGTGGTAGAACACATTACAACCGGGCTTATCATTTTACTTTTAAGTCAGATTTATCCTACTCTTATCTTGGACAAAACATCTCGATCGTATCGTTATTAAACTAACTTGAAAACCATAAATAACTGTCAAAAATTCTGGGGACTTTTGGGGACAAATGGTGAATTACGTCAACGAGTTGACCTCTAGTCCCCACGATTTTTAGTCCCCATTAGTCCCCAAAAGTCTCCATTGGTAGTCATTACTCCCCCCCCTACACATCATATACACAAACTTTGGTGTTTTCTCATGAGGACCACTATTATCATTCTTATAAAAACTCATTATCCGGCTATAACTTAAATCATATCTCTCCAAGAATGCGATAGTTAATTTATATTAAGAATAAATCAAATCCTGTATTAATATTAACATTACATGTGAATTGTGAAAGCCAACTATCACAATAACACACATGTGTACTCTTTGTAATTGTGTGTGGGTCAGTCTAGATGTAGTGAGCCATGTTATGAAGCAGTATTATTATAATAAAATATGTAACTGCTACTACATATAAGCTCCAGTTACTACAAAATGCTGTTACTGCATTGGGAAATATAGAAACGACCATCTTGAGGATGACCTGATCAATCTTCACTGGCTGGAATAAATAAAAGGAATGCATTCAAAATCTTACTACTATCGTACGACTCACAAGTCCTTGTTAGGACTGGTTTAATCTTATCTGCAAGACATTTCAGATACGAACATCATGGTCACTTATTGAAACTTATTGTCACCTTTTTTGATTCTAAGTTTATCTTCTCTAAGCGTATCTTCTCTGTAGTGACTAGTGGCTCCTAAGATGTACAATCGTCATCCTGTCATCGATAAGCTATATAAGTAATAAATAATAATTGGCGTAAGATTTGTAACTATTTGGTTTTATACTATGCGTCAGTATTACCGATATCTTTTCAAACATAAGGTTCAGTCCTTACCTAGTATACAAGTATTTACCAAGTATACAAGTACATTTCCTAGTATTATCTTAATAGTGGTGTTGTGAAACTTCAATTTATTATTATTATGTAGAAATGCATAATATATGTGATGATATATCGACACAATGTATTCTGAATAAAACGGACAAACCACGTACGATGTGTTGTTACATATTCAGCATCTGTTGAGTGTTGTACTTGTATGAAATATGTGTAATGTATAGTGGAATGCAAGTTGTGTGTTGTGAAGTGTGTACCGTGTATGGTGATGTAACCTTGCTGACAAAGATCAGTGTTTACAAATGTCAGGCTTTGTTAACAGTGACGTCACTACCTGCTGTGTTTGTTTACCATTTCCAACAGTAAATAAACACAGTAGTCAGTGACGTCACTCATTTCCACCATGTATCTTCAATAATACTATTAATAAATATCTTATAATAGTAAACAGAAACTATCAATTATATTTTTCTAGCCTTCAGGGTTATGAAATTAATATGACTACCTTACCACATGGAACTAAGTTCTCGTAAAATTAACGTTCACTTGATTGAGGTGAAAATAGCGTCGTACTTGAAAGTGAAAATTATACTCACAAATTAAAATTATATTCACCATTTACAAGACGTTATATCTACTCTCAAATTGCTGATATAATTATGGGGAAGTGAATTAAAATAATTAACCTTCAATCGCTGATACAAAATTGTGGGGAAGTAAAAGCTGTAAAAGCAGTAAGCGTAACGACGTCTAGTTCTTAATGGCGTAACTTATAACGCGTTTAACTTTTAACGATTTTAATATCACTTCATTAAAATTTTGATCTAGAACAGTAGAACTGGTATTATTAAATTTATTAATTAATTAAAACAATCTCGACAGGAATGTTTGTTGACATAGAAGACACTCGGATGCTGTGGTTCAACCCCCAGTCCTTTGAAGTGGATCACAACTACAAGCTAATTGGAATGTTGCTCGGTTTAGCTGTTTACAACAATATCATTCTAGACATTCGCTTCCCTACTGTAAGTAGTTACTTACTCCACAACTGTAATTCACAGTGGGCTGTGAGTGGGGGTCATGCTAGCATAGGGTATTTTAGACCATCACACATGCCCCTAACTTTGTTTCTAAGGTAATTTGGGTACAAAAATACGATTCCAATCATTTACAGGGCCGAAAATGTCTCAGAAAAAAAATTTTGGGCCGATTTTGAGCAATCTTGTAGTACAAAAATAGGAGGCTGATCCCAGGAAAAGTTGTTTTTTTAGAGGTTTAATCAATTTTAAAGCTCTTTTATGAACTGTAAACGAAGGACAGCTATCTTAGGAACTCAAATCTTTTTGAATTATGAAAAAATATTGATCAGAACAAAAGTTGTGCCTATTTATATGACCAACATTTTCTGAAACACCAAAATTGTTCCTGTTATTTCCAAAAATTTCGTTTAAAATCACGATTTTTTGGATTTTTATCAATTTTAACTATAATAATTGTGATATTTTGATTTTTCATCCATATGCATCTGGTCTAGGGTGCAAAAAATGCCACAAACATGGAGAATAACTAAAATATGTCAATTTAATAGCAAAATTGAGCTCATAAATTATCTAAAAATGCAGCAAATTTTACCCAATTTTTGAGTTTCTTAATTTTGTAAACAGAGTTGCCCAAAACTGCCCAAAGTGATTCTTATTGCATCTGATAGGGAATTGTCTAAGCTTTCTGATGATACCATGCATTATACCGAACTATTGCAAACCAACAACGATTTCTGTCGTTAAATACCCCAAAAATTGCCTAAAATACACGCCATAAAAAAGGCGCGGTCAAAAATCAGGTGAAAATGTTAAAGTCACACAGTTTTTTTTAGATGGCTGAGTATTCTTAAGTACTATACTGTATTTCAATTATTAAAAACTGCCTTGATCAAGCATTTTAGCCCAAAATAATAAATATTAGGCAATTTTTGGCTAAAAAAGGCAAAATTTCTTGACAGTGAAAAATGCTATTTTTTCACGCGCCGCCATTTTGGCATCTTGCAAAGTTTTTAATTACGGTTTTTTGCATGAAATCGGGCTAGCGTTTTACAATAAGGAAAGCTTATTTTCAAAGAAATTTAAGAAAGTCGATTTTAGGCCTATGCTAGCATGGTAGCCCACTGGAGTATTTTATTTTAATCCCTCCAATGGAAGTTAACCCAATATTGTATCCATATAAAGGCCCCCTTTGATTAATATTCACACCATCAAGTCGTTTACAAATGGAAATTATAAACGGCACTTTTGAGTTTTACCACTCAGGCTATTATATATTCAATATCCTTGTTCCTTGTGGTGGTATTACTCTTATTACTTTTAAACTAATTACAACACTACAAATCTATTAAATTTATTGAGTATTGTTATGTGATGGAAGTGCTTTAACCAGGTGTAGCCAGTTCACACTCTGGCTCCATAACATAAAATATATGTTTTAATTCTCAAATAAAAGCTCGAATAATCCACCTGTGCAGGTGCTATACCAGAAGTTAATGGGAGAACAGTCTGATATACGGGATCTGATCCTGACACACCCTCTGCTGGGGTCCAGTTTACAACAACTCCTGGACTACCCTGATGAGGATGTGGAGGAGGTGTTCATGTTGGACTTTGTGGCCAGCACCACTGGTATGTTAATATGTTGGTATGTTAATATGTTGGTATGTTAATATGTTGGTATCTTGGTATCTTGGTATCTTGGTATCTTGGTATCTTGGTATCTTGGTATCTTGGTATCTTGGTATCTTGGTATCTTGGTATCTTTGTATCTTGGTATCTTGGTATCTTGGTATCTTGGTATCTTGGTATCTTGGTATATTGGTATCTTGGTAACTTGGTTCAGATTGTGTTGTGAACTTAGTGGTGAAGTGACTGGTTCTTCTCAGGGGTTTAATTTATTAGTCAGTTTAACCAACACTGCTTGTGTCAATTCCTGCAGTCACACTGTGTCACACTGCAGTCACACTGTGTCACACATCAGTCACACTGCAGTCACACTGCAGTCACACTGTGTCACACATCAGTCACACAGCAGTCACACAGCAGTCACACTGCAGTCACACATCAGTCACACTGCAGTCAAACATCAGTCACACAGCAGTCACACTGCAGTCACACAGCAGTCACACTGCAGTCACACAGCAGTCACACAGCAGTCACACTGCAGTCACACTGCAGTCACACTGCAGTCACACTGCAATCACACATCAGTCACACTGCAGTCACACTGTGTCACACTGCAGTCACACTGCATTCACACTGCATTCACACTGTGTGACTGATCACGACACGTCATGAGCTCAGCATTTCACTGATGTGACTATTTATTTGGTATATTTGAGGAGCACTGGGTTTTGTTGTAGTTTACGAGTTTGCAGCAAGATTGATATACATATATATATAACGTGATTGTACCAGGTTCTCAGAAAGCTTCTAGCTCGATAAAAGATGCGAGTGAATTAAAGTTCTAGAATTAGTTCTAAAATGTGGCTCCGTGTGACTGATTGTCTGTCTGGTGATATGGACAGAGTGCCAAGCTTTCAAACTAAACAAGATAATAAGGATTTAACGTTACTGTAAAACATAGTGAAGCTAACTTTCCTGAAATACTCAGGTTTATTTGGAGAGACAATAACGCACCACCTAGTGGAAGGAGGAGACGAAATCCCTGTGACAAGCGACAATAAACACGAATTTGTCTCTAAATACGTCGACTACGTTCTCAATACTTCTGTTTCCAAACAGGTCTCTGCTTTACAGTAGGGTGATGTATCTATTTGTCAACTTAGTTAGAATCGCTTGGCTATTAAAATGTGCATTTTTATGAACCTAATTTAAAATTTCAGTTCGATCAGTTTAAGAAAGGGTTTGACATGGTGGCTTCCCACTCTCCGCTAAAATCCTGGTTCCGTCCTGAAGAGCTGGAGAAGCTGATAGTCGGAACACATAAACTAGACTTTAAAGCGCTCCAGACAGTTGCCAGATACGATAACGGTTATACTGCTGATAGCGATGTTGTCAAGTAAGTTTACTTACTTACTTTACTTTACATTTAAAGTTAAATAACATAAAGTTAGTAAGTTTAGCTGATCAAGTTCTGTTTCAGTTTTAACCAGTTTGGTTTCATTTTTGTTTGGTTTTTGGTGAAAACACAACAATATCTGTACTATAAAACATACAAAAGCAATTAATTACTTAATTAATTAATTACTACATCTTTATTATATAGACAGTTCACAAATACAGGAATATTTATTTATTCTACCGAAATATTTAGTAACGCTGCTATTTAAAAGATTTCTGTGTACGATCACAATATTTTATATTGTGAATGCTCTGTGCGTCACTCCCGATAATGTCCGATAACATCTTATCTTTCGTCCAATATTTATTATTTTCACTCAACTGTTTACTACTCATAATGTATTTAAGAAGTATGTTTGAGTGTTTTTAATGCGGTGGTGGATTAGTATTGCGACAGTGCTGTGTATAGTTTCTATAGTTTCTATAGTGTTGCATAATGCCCTCATCTACACGAATTACGTGTACACATTTATTTTAATTGTTATTTGTGACCTCCTTTCGAAGCCCTGGTCCAAAAACCGTGTCAAGAAACCTCTTTAACATTTCAATGGAACTGATAACAGCTGACACGCATTACACAGGTGGTTTTGGGAAGTGACACACGCCATGACGGACGAAGATAAGTCAAAGTTGTTAGCATTTTCCACAGGGTGCGGCAGGGCTCCAGTCGGTGGAATGTCAGAGATGAATTTTATAGTGGTTAAAAACGGGGGTGACTCAGAAAGGTATGAGATTATTATACTGGGAGTGTAATTATAGTCACTTTTTGCTTTATGAATTGCGCGAATCTCTAAGAACTATGAAGTGACAATCAAGAGTGACGCTCTTAAAATTTGAATTTAACTTCTATGCATGCCGGAGTCTCGAAGATCGGAATTGTTGTACGATGATAATACTAAATCTGTTGCGCGCATTACAAATGTTGTTGTTTGTGAGCAATAAATAACTACGTGCGCGCGTCGTCATTGCATTATATTATCATCGATTATCATATTTATCGACGCGATGTGCTCGAGCAAGATAATACACAACCACCGAGCTAGGCATGCTTATCCTGGTAAAACTATCTATTGAAATACTGGAGCAAAGTTGAAACCCACCGTGTAGACGATTACGCAGCTATAAACGTTTGAACTTAGAAACGCGAAGTCTTTGTTCTTGATTACTAGCGATTCGAACGTCCTGTCTGATGGTCTACTTTTTAAACTGTTAAAATGTACTTTTTAAAGATCAAGGATATTCAACGAAACATAGAAATTTGAAACTTAACATATTTCAGACTACCGACTGCTCACACGTGTTTCAATGTTCTTCTTCTCCCGGAATACTCTTCAAAAGATAAGCTCAAAAGCAAACTTTTCAGCGCCATTCAACACTTTGAGGGATTCGGTATGATCTAGAAAAGAGACCTGGGCTTACTTCGCTTTTAGCATAGCAGATAAAGTTATGAAATTTAATAAATCGTTCTGATAGTTTGACATATTGAAATCTTGTAATGTTGAATGTTTGAATTTAAACGTTTGTTCGATGAAACCCAGCCTAATTGATATGTGAAGTGTTTGTTTTAGAACCAAGACTTTAGTTTAGATTCCAGACTGAACTACAAACTCCAGTTTTGAGAGTGTAGGCGCAAGTTTTTAATGGGTGTATTGATTATTGAAATTGTTGGATAGTGACATTTATAACTGTTGTTATCTTAAATTTAAATTGGTTTGTTTTTGCAGTTTAAATTTATACTTGTGATACTTGTCCTTTCATTTGTTCAGCATTTACCAGTGCGGAATTCTGATTTCTAGATCCAACTCAGTGCGTCCCGTTACGCGGCTCGGGCATCCTTCATCGACGTGTGTTAAAGCGAATTGATACATGATGATTGATAGACTTGCTCCGTGACTGGGAAGCGTCTGATATTTTCGCTAAGCTATAAAATGGACATTTAGAGAAAATGTTGCCTCATTGTTCGTAAATTTTTATGCGACCATAGAAAAAATGTTGCACCCCCTGTGAAGTATTGATCTCTCCTAGCTTGATTTATTAAGCCTATTAGATATTAAGTCTCGTAATCCATTTGTTACTATTGCATATTGTTATGATGTAAATGAGCTTCACTGACCGTCCGAGAATAAAGAGTCCTCTTTCGTTATTTCAATACGTAATTAAGGATAGAAAATCTAGCCCATCAACAAATTCATCGAGAAGAAAGGAAGAATGATCAGTTTGAAAATAACAATTAAGAATTTTGCCAACTCTATCTAGCAACATAACTGATTACAATCGGATGTGGATATCACAAAATAGATTACCTGAGTTGTTAACTTTACAATACACATGTGACATGTGACATGGGTCATGGATCAAGGTTTAATTAACGCTAATACCAATAAATCCTATATGTTCAGGCCAGGTAATGTACACTGTACAATGAACATGGCAAATATAACAAATTAGAGGATAGCTTCCCCACGACTCAAATACTTAAAGTTATTATAATATGGTAACAGCTTTGATCACATAGTACATAGTACATAGTAAGCACTAGTATATATAAGCCCATATATTGATTCACGATGTCAATCCTTCGCTGTCGATCTCGCAGCTCGGCTTACCTGGGGACCTCAGGCTATTATATTTATGTTCATAATCATCGAATAGAGATTAGGCGAAATGACAGGCTGAGCGCCACCCAGTAAATTTGATACTCCGACTCGTATAATATTTTATTATTTGTCCCAAATTTGAATTTCAAACTCGGCGCGCGTCTTGGTACGGTAGGTTATCAAAATTAAACCTTCAACCTACAAAGAATTGGTGTTAAAATTTTAAATTTTAAATTTTTGGTAATTCGGGACATCCTGGCTTTTAGTCTTAGTCCTGCTATGTAGCATTTTTCAACAACTAACTCATATCACGCGACATGCGAGTGTGTTTTAATATTTTAATTTACAATTTACCAACTCGCAACAACCCAGCTAAACTTACTGGCTGACGCCCTGACGGTGTTACTAGAGGTGGTTTAATTTAAACAGACGGCTTGAGCTCGCGCGCGCAACATTAAGCATGATTTGCACGCGTGTTAACGGGTGATACTCGTAAAATATTTGTTCCAAACGAGTCCAACTCGGCGCGCGTCCTGGTGGTAGGTTATAAACCTACAACACGCGTACTGGCGCATTCCAATGTGCAATGTTCAAGCAGCTAGCACGTGACACAATTCAGCCAATCAGAATAGTAGTACAGAAATCTGCACAGTTAAAGTTGCAAACTTTTGATCGGCCCAAAATGACACTTTTTTGGAGATTTGAAGATACCTCAAAATCTATGTTGTCTTGAATTTCCCCTGGGGGAAATGTTACTTTTACAAGACGAACATGTTGCAAAAAACCGGAAGTCGCTATCTCTTTTACTTTCGAAGTTATAAGGCCCTGGCCAGTAAGGTTTTCTGGGAACACAAACAAGTAAAATAACCATTTCATCAAAACAGAAATCATATTAAAAACGAGAGTTTGATATTGCATTGGCATTGGCAGCTTCAACAACGGCAATCACAATTAAATATATCTTTGAAGAGAACAATTTTAAATTTGAAATGTATTAAGTTTGAATGTTGTTTGAAAAATTGTGACGAAATTACTTCTTCAGTACACTTAACTTGACTAGGCACCGTTTTGTCACACAAAAGCAGTTGACATGTAATAGTGCATTTTGTTTGATTTAGATTAAATCTGAAACGAAACAGGTTTATTCAAGTATTATGAGCAAGAATTTGACAAGTTTGAATCATGTAAATCAAAAGCCGTGGATTAACTGTAATGGTTATGACTATGAGCCAAGATTTCACAAAATGAACGTTTTGCTTGACACATTCAGTCACTTTCAGTTTCTTCGTGTTTCTATATTAGGCACTTGCGATGATGTAAGACTCATATTGTTAGTCAAATGTTCGGCAAGTCAAAAACGTTGCAGAAAATTAAATTTAAAGGGCGCTAACTCCATTTCAAAATAACGGGCGAAACAAAAATCCTATGCAAATTTCAGTTTATAGCTAAAATTTGCACTGCAATTAATGCAATTGACTAAAAATACAAAAGCTATTGCTAACCCGACAAAGCCAACATTGACGAACAGCGTGTTAAAATACTATAGTTTTATCAACAATCTATAAATATATCAGTTGTCATAATTCAATAAATTATGTTTATATTCTTCAATTCTCATTTCTCTTCGCTAGTTCCTACTACTACTAGTAGTAGTGAGGTGCGCACGTGGCTCCGGACGGAATTCTGTCTTCAAATTGTACGATTGTAACCTCAATAAATGGTCCAACATTGATTGTAATACAGTCCTCGTTTTGATCGAGTGTTAAAAAACACTCAGGACATTAAGTTAGAGCAGTCTGATACTGTGATCTGATAGATTTGTCCACGCAAGGGCTGTAGTAAGGTGAGGAGTAAGGTGCCACACAAATGCTTCCCTCTTTGGTAGAGTACGGCGGCTCAGCGGCGGCAACAGCAGCTTTGGATGTCTGATAAGCAGCAGCGGCGGCACCTAATTTGGACGACGGATAGAGACTGTGGAACTGGGACTGGGCGCTGCTTTCTGAAGAGATTGACGTCAGCTAAATGGCTAAACGTAAATTGAAATATAATAAAAGCTTGTGATATGCAATATACAGCAATATATCACATATTATGGCAAATCGCCGTGAGCCCACGATTCAGGCTCGATTTTAAGCATTGACGCTCACTTTCATTTCTTCCAGTCAAACGATCTAAACGTAGTCGACGTAGAAATACAAAAAAACTTTTAACGAGAATAAAGTAAAATACACGCACACACAGACTAACACACGTACATTCCCAAACCCACCATCTTCATTAGAAAGCCCCGACGACAGAGCACTGGTAGCAGGATGAACCTGGGAGGAGCTCTGGAGTGGAGTTAGCACGGTTAGTGGGGTTAGTTGAGTCGAGGTGGCTGGCAGAGTCGGGGTAGGGTTCTGGAGGGCTGGGTTATAGACGGGCGAGTAACCTCCGGTAGCTGACCACATGTAGTTGGGAAAGGAGTGAAAGGAGTTGGAGAAGGAGCTGTAGATGTTGTGGGGGGACGTGAAGCTGCTGGTGATGTCTGGGTCACTTCCCTGCAAGGTGAATTTGATGTTTAGAACAAAGAAATAAGAGTGCAAGTGGCCCGGTTTTTAATACCATATTAGGCTGATAATCAACTGTTATATCGATAAGTGCTCTGGATGATCAAGTTCTTTGAATTTAACAAAGTGTGAGGTCAACCATTTACCTTAGTCTGAAAGGAAGGTATAGTGACGCCAGGATGAGCGTAGTAGGTGGAATCCTTCCTTAATAATCTACTGTCCACACCATCGCTAAGAAGATTGTATCTCGCTTCGTTCAGCCTCTTCCACTTAGTCCGTCTGAAAAGTACCGGTATTAGTATGAAAATACCAGTTCCAGTACCAGTTGCCAGTGCCATTACGAGTGCGAATGAAAGTATATTGCTCGGATCGAATGACGGTCATGCTCCTGGTATTGGGGTATTTAGGAAATAGATTCGACGAATCTGGTACGTGTTTAATACAATTGTTCCTTCCACTGTGTCAAAACGCCTACTTCAAGACCAAGTTAAAAGAATTCTCAATTAAACTCTCCAATACACCGAAGTTAAATTCCCCTCTTAAATTGAACTTCATTTGACATATTTTAGAAGTCACGTCCAGCTTTGCCTTTATGACCCCTTTGTTGCAAAAATGGTAAAATAGCCTTTTAAGCAAAAGCTTCCTCAATTTCATTAAACGAAGCTGTTTTGTCAGTTATTTGTCAGGTAGCAGTGACATTGCTTATTCGAGGCTCCACAGCCAATGATAAGAAGAGCAATATAGATAAAAAGCTCAAAGAATCAGTGTCTCGGCGACAGGCCCTTTTACCGATTATTATCAAACAACGTGGGCCGTCGGGGTTCGTGCGATGAACGGCGACAAATTGACTCGCTCTCTCTATGTTTGCAACATGTCTGCAAAAACGTTTTCACCGACCGCCACTTTAAACATGTCAGAAATGTAATAGCCAATAGCCAATAGCAACGGATCAGAGTTAAAGAGTGGATAAAGTGAAAATTACAACTGGTTCCATTATTGGTGCAATAAAATACAGATAAGTCAGATCGACTCAATAGATTAGTAACTTTCAACAGAGCTTACAGTACCATATTTAGATATTATTTTTAAAACCTCAGATTATATGTCAAATCAACGATTAACACTTTTGCCATTCACTTATAATTTCGCCGTTTTTGCTAATTTTATGGTCGGCGAGAAGGTCATTAATTTTAAAAATGGTGATAAAATTTTCAACATTTATCTCGCGAGCTTCATAAAGAGGATGGAGAAAATTGCGATAATCCACCATCGCAGTTATCCTGTCACATCATAGTTTTACCGTCAACCTCGGAAGATAGAAACAAACACGCACCTGTTTTGAAACCATGTTTTGATCTGGGAGTCCGTGAGTCCGAGTTCTGAACAAAGAAGCGTCCTATCAGCTACACTCACGTACCTGTTAGGTTAATAAAATAATTAAATGATTTGTTAATTAATTAATTAAATGATTGGGTACTTATTCGATAATTCATTATAATTTATTATCCAAAAATTTGGATTTGTATGATTCAATCACTGTCGGCATTGTTAGAAATGGGTCTGAAGTCGAAAATAACGACGATGCTTATGGCCCAGTACACATTATGGTTTGATTGGTTAAAACAGTCTTACTACTCCACCAATATTTCTTGAATTCTCTCCCAATCCAACCAACTGACTGACTAATTACCAACTAATTTCTCACTAATCACCTACTAATCACTTACTTATTAATCCTGAAGCGTCTCTCTAGTTCCTTAAGTTGTTCATCAGAGAAACAGGTCCGGGGTCGTCTCACTTTCTTGCTAGCTCCACAATCCTGGCTCTGATCACTGGTATCTGCCACCATCAGACAGGGTCTGTAGGACTCGGATACTTCTGGGACTTGACGGACACTGGCCGGAACACTCGGATGATCATCCTCAACTTTTGATATCTGAAAGGAGGGGCGGGTTAGGATTGTTGTGGGCTGTAAGATTTTTATGTTTTAGGGTCTATTTATGTTGCTGTTGGACTGGACACTTCAGTCGTAAAACAGAGGATCAGATCTGCACATTAATTATAATATCGGAGGTTCAGGAGTCCCCCCCCCCCACTGAGACAGAAACAGTGATCACGAGATAGAGGTAGAGTCGTTATCTGTCTCGCCATATTATATACAGCAATGCTCAGAAAATAATGTTATTTTTTTGGAATATTTGAGATGTCAAAATTTCATGCTCCATTAACTCTCACATATATTATCTCGAGTATTGAGCGTTAGAACCTTTATAAAATATACCCAAGGCTGAGTGGTTGATTTATCCGGGTTTTAAATAATCACTTTATAAGGAATTTAAATTGACAGGAAACCGGTCGCATCGAGTTCAACTTCATGGAGTTGAAACACAAAGTCTCCGCTGATATTTAGTCGGTAAAACTACTTAGCCCTTCTTTAAACTATTGTCGCAAAAGGTTAGATCATCTTTATAAACTAAATCTATTTTCGGTGTAGAATCATAGTAAGTACATCTCTTCATGACCAACAGTCTTTGCAAGACCATGAAGTGCAAGATTACGGTCAACGTCTCTAGAGAAACAAGATTACAACGTCCCTAGAAAAACGTGCTGATAAGTCATACTGTTTGACCCAGTGACTCTGACTATTTATAGCAAGTAAGCTGTAAGTAAGCTGATACACAGCCGTGAAACTGGAGGTAACAAGGAGACACGAGTACACGAGGGACAGTGCCAACTAACTTGTCAGAGTCCTTTTGATAATGAGGCTGTTATTATAAAGTATGGATGAGTGCCAGAGGGTCACGAAATAGCAAAAAATATGATTCGTTTATGATGATGAATCATGATTTTAGTAATCCAAAAAGTACTGTTTGCTTTAATTCTCCGCAATGACCAGTAGGAAAGTATCCCACAAATTGTTGGTGTACATGAAGGTTTTCGCTGAAAAAGGGTCCCTTACCTGGCATTGAAAAGCACAGCTGCTGAAGTGCATTTCGAAAGAAAGGCTTGCGATAAAAACAAAGGCTGAGAGCTCACAGCTCGAACGAAAAAAAAGTTTGGGGGAAAAATCGGAGGTGAGCAACACACACAATGGCTTTAAATACTACCTTGTCTATCAATAAAGTATAAAAGCAACCAAAAATCTCCAATTTGAGCAATCTGATTGGTCACCAGTCGGGCAATGATTTATCTTCTATCGCATTATGATTTGCACTATATCTGCAACAAGATCATGTTCTATCTGAGAATCTAAGTTCGATATTTTCTCATACCAGCGCCAACACCTAAATTTAAGTAAAAATCAACTGCGAACTCGTGTTTTTCGGTAAGATTTGTATCATGGAAGATAATAAATACCTAATACGATAAATCAAATTATTTTCTTCGCCTCTTGGAGGGGTTGTGATGGTGAGAAGACACGTCCAACAGATAGCACGAATAAGAATTCATGTCACTTCAGGAGATGCGACGACGTCCTTTATATGCATATTATCGTGGACTGGATTTTAAACTTAATGATGCCGCGTTTAAAATCTGACGAGAGAGGGATGCGACGACTTAAGACCCCTTTTAGTTATTTGCGACTATATCATTGTGATACATTTTTTGAACTATCACGTTTCAAGGTGATCGTGCCATTGCTATAAATTTCTGGATCCATCAATCAAATGCCTAGAAAATGCATCCTCATATTCAGTGTTTCCCTACCTTATAACATGACGAGACAAATTTCACAATAAAAGCGAATAATGGATAACATTTACTGATACTCGAATCGCAGTGAATGATCTTCAATGGTTATTTTTTATATAAGTATGATCTGATACAATGTTTGGCATCTTTCGGACAAATAGAGGGATGCATGTTTGTCCAGAGTCTTGTATAGATGTCCTCATTGCGGTTATTTCCAATTCTGCTCTATCAAGAAGTTTTAACTATTTCTGAATGAAATTAACCTCAGTCCCAACTGATGGAAATGATTTTCAGACTTTTTCTTAAAAAGTAAAGTTTTTGTTAGAAAGTCATTTATAAATGTGCACAGTGATTTTGTGCCTATACAGATTCCAGACGTGTGTAATATGTTCATAGGTAGTAAAATCATAGTTTCACCTAAGAAAAACGACTTAACATTTTTCTTCAAAAGTTAAGGTTCAATGCTTCATTTACGTTTACGAGATTACTTTTCATCCATCCGGAAGTTTCAAATATATTCCTATAGGAAGAGTAAATAAACTTCTAGCATTTGCTGAACAGTTTTGAGATTTTTCTTGTAAAATATAGGTTTTAGGCAAAACAATTGTTTCAGAGACCATTTATAGACTTTATCAATTTGGTGATCACGCAACTATCCGGATTCCAGAAGCATTTATTACTTATATGTTGATTTAAACTATTTTAGAATGTTCCTTAAAATTGATCGATTTATGTTATATTTCTGTTCACAAGAAATATAACAAATTCTCATTGTGATAGTTTTGCACCTATTCGAAAATTCAGACCAATGGTTATAAGATTAACGTCAGAAAACTTTGCGAAAAATCGCGCACTTGCTCAAAATTGCTTAATATAATGTGCGGCAAATTTGGTGAATAGTGCGGCTCGAGTGCAGCGAATATTTTCGAGATGTGTGGTAAACGTGCGGTAAGTAGGTCTTTTTGTGTTGGAAAGCTGCTAAAAATTACTTCATGGGATTAGTTTAATGATTCTTTCTATAAGAACGAATGGGTAATTGCAGAACGGTTTACAGAACAAATTTCCTCACCTTTCATTTAGGGAAGAAATAAATCCCTGAGCTCTAAATGCCACCGAAATATCTTCTTGTTTAGCGGAATATTTTGGCTTTTTAGGAGCCGGTGAAGTACTGCTAAGATCGGACGGTGGCGAAAAAACGACCCATGATTATTAATTAGCAATCAATTAGTGTGAAAGCAGACCTTTAAGTTTAATTTACGGGCAGATCAAATTACGGTGAATATGGTATTATGGTCACGTGGTAACAAGAACTGGTTAGATCTCATTGTTTACTGTAGTAAAGACAAAAGAATGGAGATTACTGTGTCTATTCGGTTCCTACACTAGTCAAAGACTCTCTACTATATACTCTAACTAGAAGACTATAAGTACAAGGGATTGGACGATTGATGATAACTCTTTGCTTACTTTGATGACTCTATTTAGTAATGATTTTAACTGAACTCGTCCCTATTTTCCTTCGAACTCCAAACTTTACGAAAGATTGATGGTTTTTACACCTAAATTGTGACAAATTGTGAGGGAAGTTTCAAATTGCAATTGTGCGAAAACGACTGTTAGTGCGAATATATGCGGAAAACAGCTGAAAGTGCGAATATGTGCGGGAGCCAGCTAGAAGTTATATGCTGCCTCTGATTTACGTTAGCTCAATCTTTAGGCCATTTTATTGAATAGTAAGGGGCTTCCGTGTAGGCATTTTGTGTTTGTTCATAATTCATACAAAGTCAGCTAAATGCAGCTTTATTTTGGACCTATTCAGAATCATCTTATATACAAGAATCATCTTATGTATTACAAGCAAATTTTAGCCAATCCAGCTCACTAAAAACAGGTTTTAAAAAATGGAAATTACAGGTTGCAGGTTGCAACCATGACCTTATTTTGAACACATTTGTAAATGATAAATATGTCAAGATAGTCTGGTCAAGTCTCTTTCAAAACATCCAGGCGAAACAATTGAATAAAAAATCATTTGTAATTAAGAGTTGATGAAAGAATTTAGTCCAACATCACTAGGATCTTTGCTTTACCTGATCTTCACTTAAGTACATAAAATTGGAATCAGCCCAAGAAATCTTCCGAAAGTTGTTACGTAAGTGACTATAAGAGTATAAGCAATGAGCGTAACTACAAGTGAAACTAATACATAATTACTCAAGTAACAATCGATTATTACTCATTTGGTATCAATCTTCTGAGTCAGAGATACAAACGATCCATCATCAAGATTCAAGAGTTATAAAAACAGTCCCCATCACTATAAGGTTATCTAAATGATGAAGAGTTGTAACCCTTAACTTATGATTTTGTTGAATTCACATCCAGCGACCAGCAGATTTGCCATGGGCTACATCACCGGGGGGGGGGGGGGGGGGGCAGGGGGGGCAGCTGCCCCCCCCCCTGGGATTTGGGGGACAAGTTTACAAAAACATGAACATTTATTCTTCAACATAACATTAAACCAGACGGCTATGGTATACAGTTTTGTTTTCGCACCCACTGCTCTGTAGCCCCACTGCACTGTAGCCCCCCCTCCCCCCTACATTGTGTTATTTTTAAATACCATGCCAGTACTCAAGTACTGGAAAATGCGTCAAAATTGTCTAATTTCCTTAAAAATTTTCCGGGGGGCTTCGCCCCCCTATCCCCCCGACAAGGGGCTCCGCCCCTTGACCCCACTGGGGGCTGCGCCCCCGGACCCCTGTTATTGGGGGGGCTTCGCCCCCCTACCCCCCACCAGGGGCTCCGCCTCTGGACCCCGCAGGGGGCTTCGCCCCCTTGCCCCCCCTGGGTTGAAGACGTGATGTAGCCCCTGTTTGCGTGAATAAACCTGGCTGGACAGGAACAGGTCAATATTTGGCTAAAGTCAAACCAGGTCCCGGACAACTCATAGAAGTGTAGAGACTAGATATTATATTTCATTCGATAGGTAGCGGGTCCGAACCGAAGCACTGTCAAAGATAATGGCAAGGTCGCGGAGAGCAGGCCACTAAAAACTCAAAATATTGAGGGTAAGGGAAGCTTTCCGCGGCTGTACTTTAGGCCTGTGTTGGGCCTACGCACCACTGTCCCCGACCGATTCGGCGGTCGGCTTTGTTCACAATTTACTCGACTTTGATTAATGCTTATTGAATATTGAGTAGCTGCCATCCCATTGTGTAGCGAAGCTTTGAGTGAAAAAGTTACGGAATACATTTTCTTACTGGCCTCGTTTTGGGAAGAAAATAGCCGCGGGAAATCGGTTTGTAGTAAATCGGTGTTTGCAGTAAATATTTAATATAGGTTTGCAGTATATTAAGGCGTGACAAATCGAGGCGTTACTGTATCAAAATATACCTTGTTGAACAATATTGGTCAACTTTTGTTGGCAATAAGATTGTATCATCGTATTTGTGTTACCTTAAATTTTCACCTGTCGCATTATACTCATCTAAATTCTAATAAATGATCAAAAATTGTCGATAATCTTAAGAAAAATGCATGTAATGTCCTATTATCATTAAGGCCCATGCCAGCTCATCGCGGGTTTACTATTATTACTACACAGCAAAAACATTTTGAGATCGACAAGCGTCAAGGCAGCTAGAATTTAGGTCGATCAAATTAAATTCTGAGCTCTGTGCCACCTGTGCTCGGTGCCAACTGTGCAATGTCAAGCTGGAGCAGTTTTCTCTTTGTATGGTATTCCAGGCTCAGTTCGATGGCGAGTGAGGAAAAGAAAGAAAAAACTAAAACTTATTTCTAAACTGTGACGAGAATCAACATTATTGCATACCGTGTAACTGTAGCTATCAGCCGCCCGTTCCTCGTACACCACCATTGACTTTAAGTGCTAAGTATGAACAATTCCGAAAATCACTGTAAAACTAAGGAATGAAGCTATATCAAACTGTAAGGACAAAAAGCCGGTAAATCAGTGATTTAACTTGTGGGTAAATGGGTAAATAGTCTGCTGAGGAAGAAGCAATATGTGTCTTTAAAGAGGACTCGAATCAAATAAGAGGGTCGAATGAGGTGGTGTGACGAAGCAGCGGCCATTCATTGAGCTCCGAATTAACAACACCCTCCTCATTGGCCCCCTGAGGTCACATGTTTGTAGCTGACCCCTGATTGGTTCTCCGAGAACACGTGTTTGCAAGCTGGGATCTCATTGGGTGCCATGACGACTCTCGGATAGTGCATGTTAACTGTTTTACGCTGGTTCCTGTTGGGGGTCACGAGACTACTACACATAGTCACGTGACCTAAACAATACCACTGATTGGTCGTCATCTCAAGCACGTTGATTACTCGATCCTCTTCCATTTGGAGATACCGCGGCTCCGTCCTGCAACACAGCTCAAACAGGCCGTTTGAAGTTAGGGCACATTAAACTCAACAAGCAGGGATGTTTAGTCGCCAGACCCGCAGGCTAAACGAACCATGAGAGCAAAAACGGAAATGGAGCTCCGATGGGAATTGGACACGGGAAATAGAGTAGATTTGATCGAGTTGAGAAAGGCCTTGGCAGGGATTTCTTTTGAACAGCCATATCGCTTATGTCGTCCAATATTTAAATTTGTACAACCTTGCCTTTTCCAATTTTTATTCCAGCAGAGAATGATGGTTGGTGACAGTATTTCTTTGGTTAAGGCTTTAACTCTTCAATTTTCAAAAGTTATATTTTTTGCGGTATGATGTCTGGGTACTGTACGTTCACTAAAGCTGTGGTATGGCAATTGACGCATGCATCGCATCATATTTGACATCATGCTTTGTTGTTAACTCGATGTTTCACTTCACACATGAACTGCATCTAAATTTAATGGGTATGAGCCATTATCCATTGCGACCAAGAATAATACCCAAACAACATAACGCAACCACTTAATAACTATTGCGTCACTATAACATATCCCCCATTTGAAACATGATCATACATAACTACTTCACATCTGGAGGAAGTGACATGACGGCTAGCTCCAACCATTAAACCATGTCACCTAACAGCATGACAGCAGCAGATTCGCTCTAATTATCGGCTACTCTGATATCAGGACCCTCCGTGTCCCCTCTTGAACTACTGTTCAAATCCCCCTTAATTGGCCGTCATCATTTTGAAATTACCCAATCGATCAGCTCTTCATTTAGGACGTTTAAAAGCCTCCCTTGCTCGTGTTTTGAATGAAGCAGGTCCGTGAGCCCGGCCCCAAATGTGCATTAGTTACGTGGGAAAAAATGATGCAACTTCAAAATCCTTAATCAAATCTCATCTAGGGTAAAACCAATGCTTAATGAAACCAGTCACAAAAAGTATTTGATTTAAATTCAAACCCGACGAGACTGCAATAATAACAATTTAATAGATGCTGCAGACAACTGCTGGAGATGGGTTCCAATGCACGGGGAGATTTTCGATTTACAAAGGGTCAAATCACAGGGTCTCTCAGTTAAAGGCAGACCAACAAGAGACATCATTAAAAAGATGATGCAGTGGTTGACTATTTAGGACACAATGTTAGTGGACTTCTGTTTTTGAGATATCCCGTGGGAGACATGACGAATCCGGATCTAGTTTCCTGGCGGAAGAAGTGATCTGAGATCATGATGTTCCAACTAAGCCATTGAAAACATCATACTTTAAGGAGAATGATGATTCTTTTAAAGGTGAAAGAATGCGACGTATATAATAGTAACGGATAAACATGTTGCTTTGGCGAATCAAATTAAAATACTATCAAAAATCATTAACAAATTACAAAACTACAAAAACGAGTTCTTTTATTCACGATCGCTTCTTTTGGCGTCAATAACAAAGTGTATTTTCTCAGGTCATAATTTTTCTTGGTACAAAGAATGAAATACCCTTAAAATGCTTAAATAGCGAGCCAACGTTATAAATCCTTGAAATTTGACGAACAGTTCCAATAAATCACTCGCCAAGAATTTTTAATTTTTTTACACAAGGGCCATGTGATCATGTGAAAGTAACATCATTATATGCATTTTTCGATGCTGATTTCGAAATACCCTCATGACATTGGGTTAAAACGCTTCCCTGAGTATTTATGCGAACAAATTGTTTTGGTCACGTGATAAGGTAAATACGAACTCGATTGTCGAGGACTTGGGTTAGCTTCGGGCTTATGGTTTGGGTTAGGGCTTCGATGAGACCAATTCTTTCAGTTACAACACGGTAAAATCCCAAGTCACGTGACAGCGCGTTGGCCAGTAAATTAGTAAAACCCTTCAACAAGAGAGTCTTTATCAACTACTCGGGCAAAAGCCAAATGTTAAATAATAAGTTTTATTTAACACCCAGCTATCAGGTTAATTTAAACTGGTTAACAGCGACTAAGTACCGAAGGATCCTGTCTCCTAAACAGATCCGCGATTCCATTATCCGTCATGGTGCTTTAACCAGGTAATAGTGCCTTAACCTCTTCAGTACCTTAACCTCTTCAGTACTTTAACCTCTTCAGTACCTTAACCTCTTCAGTACCTCAACCTCTTAAGTACCTTCACCTCTTCAGTACCTTAACCTCTTCAGTACCTTAACCTCTTCAGTACCTTAACCTCTTCAGTACCTCAACCTCTTAAGCAAGTCGTAGATTCGTATACCATTACTACAAAGGTGATTATGACTAAAAAGGTGTTTCTTATTCCATTACTTATAAAATCACATGACAACAATCAAAAACAGCAATTATGATGTCGCATATCCTAAATGTTATCAGGGATATGTATACCCGAATGGATCAAGAAAGCCTGATCCAGGTAGAATTATCCGAATGGAGGTTAAAGTAGCAGGAAAAGTGATCACCACAGTAAATATTTGGCAGAGTATGCCCAGATGGCAGAGTAGCTTTCACCAGTATTTAAGATAGTTGACATCTTCCATCAATCCTGTGCAGTGTGCAGGTGAGTGGTTATTTACTGTCATTTCCTGTCCGTCCCCAAGAGTCTCACATCTGAGCTCCCTTCTGACCAGTATTGTAGCAAAGTAGCACAGGAGAATCGGAAAGTTGCGACAAGGTGTAGATCATTCCACCACTGAAAACAGAGCAGGACAAAACAACACGGTGATCTAAAGAGCACAAAAAGTAACAAAGTAACAAAGTAACAGAGTACGATACAACCTTTTATATCACAGGATCGCCAAATCTTAACATAGGCCATTAATAGGCCATTTCCAGCATTTTAGTTGAATGATGCAATAATAATAATCTCCAATACTTGATAAATAAACCTGACATTTTCCCATACAAGCAGTGACAGAGGTTGCATGAAGCCAGTTTATCCCCAATATAGTAGAACCCTTAACCTCAGCCCTGGCAAGGGTTCGCAATAAACCGTGTTCATTTACATAACGTAACTTCTTAGAGAATAAAACGTAACAACTCAGAACATTATGGTGGGGTAATACTGTTCTCCCGGAATAGTGGCACTGCTCCTTACCTATAATAAGTATAACTTGGGATCTATCATTTCAACTTTTGTACATATTGAGGGTTATTGAACAACGAAAGCGGTACAGCTGTGCTCGAACGCAGTTGTTACTTTAAAGAGAATTAGACAAAATATGGGTCCTGACTGGACTTAACAATTGCAAGCACCATCAAACTAAACCATTGGGAAAAACTACATATCATAAAATACATACTATAAACTACATACTTTGCTCTTCTGTGCAGCAGCTGACGGCAGTATCATCTCAATGGAGAACTGCGAAGAGGAGGAAGCAACTCTGTGCTGGTCCTCCTGCATTGTAGCGGTTTCCTCTGGAACACTGGATGCTGCTTCAAGTTTGAACCGATGTCAGATTTTGTTATCGGTATAACCAGTGTCTGCGTACTTAACTAAAACGGTTTAAATCGAGCAAGACAAACTAGAAATTTCTGTGCCGAGAGCCGGTCGGTCGCCTGAGAGCTGTGATACCCCTCTCTCTCTCTCTCTCTCTCTCTCTCTCTCTCTCTCTGCTCTCTCTCTCGCTTCGCTCTCCGAGAACGTTACTTTACATGCAGAAATGACAGATGATTCACGTGATCTACCTTAAAATCCAATAAAACCGCGCCTGGTTAACGTGGGTTGCTTGACCAATAGGGAACGGGGATGCAGCGAGGCAGCCAATAGGGGGCGGGAACCAAAGCAGAGCCGCATCCTACTGTCACGTGATGGTTTTTGAGGGAGTTGATTGTGAGGACGGTTTGGTGCGCTACCTCCACCACAAGTATGGGTTATGTGTTTTGTCAGCAAGAGAGAGAGAGAGAGAGAGAGAGAGAGAGAGAGAGAGATAGAGAGAGAGTGTGCTAGTGACTAGTGAGGGGGAGAGAGAGAATGGGGTGTATGGCTCATTAAACAGTTTCGGAGTAAAGAGTTTAACAAAGTTGTATATGGGCTTTAAAAACCTTCTTAAATTATGATGTCTTAAATGCTGTGATAATGATGGTAATAAAAGGGGGAAGTAAACACCTATTATAAAATAATGAATCAACAGAGGTTATCATGGTTAGCATCCAAATGGATAAAAGGTTGAGTGGGAGTAATGCCAAGTTTATTCCCCTTTTAAAACATCTCCCTTAACTCTACAATCTATTGTCGTATGATGATAAATAGGTTTAAATAAACGAATAGTATTCAGATAGTTCTATAGTTTTTTCTTTAAAAAAGGCAGTTATATACTTGCAATATCAGTTTAATAAGGGAGAAAATTACCCTCAATATTGTACATTATCAATTATACCAATTATCAATTATACCGATTATATCAATTATACCAATTGGCCACTACCTAGACAGGCATTATCTATACGCTCCGTCTACAAATAGCTTTAGCCACTTACGTTAGTCCACCATGATTATCGAGATCTTAATCAAATCTTTGATTATACTCCTAACAATACGCTTTAAATTCATTTCTTCAACTCAAGAAAATTCAAGAGAATTCTATTTTAGAAAGTCGAAATGAGAAAACAGAAAGTTAATTATAACTGATTAACCGCAGGAAATTTAGTCAGCGATAATTCTTTGTTTGATTGGTTGAACTTAAAATCTTACGGATTTTCCAACTACCTTATCGGACCTTATTTGGACGGACATTATTTGAACGGACATAATTATGAACGGACATAAATATGAACGCTAGAAGGCAATCAAAACCATCAAAAATCCGAATTTTTTTCAACTTTTTTTGACGTTTTTTTAATTTTAGCAAATGATTTTTAAATCCTTTTTTCATACACTAAGCAAGAAAAGCAGTCTATAATAAGTAAAAATGTTAAAATATGTGTACATGATCATTATCTAATATCACATATCATCTTCATCAAATGGGTTTTCGTGCAGGGAGATATCCCGGTTTGTCTTCTACTTTATCGAGATGGGTGTTATGGTAGAAGGTATCGTAGCTGACATAAGCCACCGAAGGTCGCCTATATAAAGTGGGAAGCTAGAGATAAAGCTTAAGCTGTATTTTAGGCATTCAAGTATCTCTTTAGTCGAGCAGTTGGGATCGTTCATTGCCTGGTACGACTACGAGTTGGACAGACAACCATTTGTAAAACAAAATGAGGTAGAAGAAGCCGAAGTTCAACTTCAAGATAGTGATCATGCAATAATGTGATATTTACTATTCAGATTGTTAAAATTTTATGATACCTTGTTTTTATTGATTCAACGATATATTTTAGTCTAATGATAGCAATTGAAATTGACTGAAATTAAAAAGTTGTCATATTCTGGACAAAAAGTTCGAAATGGAAAAATTTTTGAAAAAAATTCAACGGACTTTAACTTGGACGGACATTAATTGAACGGACTTTATTTGAACGGACATTAACGTGAACGCTAGTGCCTCCAGCGTTCAAGTAATGTCCGTCCAAATAAGGTCCGATAAGGTACTTTAAGGCTTATCAGTGTTTACTCATTAGATGGGGTCCCCAATACATTTAGCAGCTTAGAGGCCTCATAAGATACTTTTAACAACTCTACAAACGTTTACAATAGATTTCAACTGGTCACCAACACCAGATTTGCTACCAGTACCTACTAACCTATCATACAATATGATTCATACTGACCAACAGAGAAAAATATCTTGGAGGGGCATACATTTTGACCTAAAAGAGGGGAATTTAGAGGGGCGTCTAGCCCTAAATGAAGCTTAATTAGCTTCAGTTGCATTTACATTCCACCCTTGAGATGCTTTTGTATCCATTTTGTCATCCCCCAGAAAAAGAAACTTGGGGTTGAAACTTGGGTAAACAGAAACTTGTGAAAAGGGTAGTGTATGGGGATTTGAAGAAAGATGATATTGTCGGCGGTCTGCGGTGTAGGGCCGGGGAAGCTAGAAGTCAAGAGGAACGAAAAGTATATAGTACAATTCAATGGGCAAAACTGAAATAAACAATAAAACGCTAATGGCTGGGTTGGGCTTGTGGCGCCATAAAATCCCAATTTTCGAAAACCTGCCCATTATGTAGTGAGGTAAGAGGAGCTAGATATTTATTCTATTTTTAAAAGTGAGATAACTTATAATTACTCAATACGCAATTATAAAACTCAAATAATAGTGCCAACAGTTGAATTTTAAAGTTATCCCAGTGCCACCGACAGAAATTCGTGGGGAAATTAGCTGATTACAGTTTTACTTGCTTCAGAGGGAGAAATACTGATGCCCCTCCAAAAGAGGAGCATGAGGCCCAACGAGGGGCCCCATGGGCATGTTGGTCACTCTGATATGATTCAGTACAGACGAGTGACGACGTATGTGATTTCGAAAGCTGACAGACGTGGGGGATCTAAGTGATCTGACCACTATATACCTTTTAACACATAACGTTGGGAACATTACTTTCTCAGAAGAGTTTGTCACTGAACTAAGTAGTGGGTACTTACTACTTTTGTAATATCTTTACAGCCTCTTTTCAGTATCATGCATAATTTACAATCTGAAGCAAAAGCTCAGAAAACTAACTCATCCTTATACCATTTCCCAGTTTGCCCAAGTTTGTCCAGTATCAACTCTACGAGATAATTTCCCCCGACCTCTGATCCTGACTATGCTCAAATACATAAGTGTTATATTTGGTCGCGTTGGTCACATGACATATCCTTTAAGCCTAAAACTGGGGTACTGAAAGCCTTATAAGGCCTGTGGTTATGTGATCGATGAAACCAGACCGCTTATAATTTATGAGATACAGCACATAAAATAATAGCTGGCCATTGTGATTTAAGTACAGACGACGATATCATCCAATTAGGAACCAGCTATATAAACATTATCTGATACTATTCCTTTTAAGCAGGTCAGTTCGACATGTCTGACAATCTGCTTCACGGCATTCCGGTTACCTGGGGACCGACCGCCGCCCAGTAACATTCCGGCAAATGTTTTTAGATTAGTTTTGAACACCCATATTACGGACAACTAAAATATACAAATAACAGACGTCAGAACTCGAAATTTTGAAAAATGATAGGACAAAAAAGTTGCACAATTTTCTGTACAATTCAAAACTTAAAAGGTTCGACATATAAATATATCTATACTAATAATGCAGCCGGTTTCGACTGATCGCCGTTTTAACTTTTGCACTGTTTATACTTTTACAATTTAACTGCGATAATGAAGTTCCGGCCGTAGGCACGGGTTACACTAGTAATATAATATTTATAATATAAATATATAATATTCATAATATAAGATAATATTTATATATAAATATAATATTAATATATCGACTGACTTGTGATAGTGTGTTTTTTGTAACGCAAGTTATATTCAGGATCTATTGCATATGGAGACAATTAGTGCCATGATAATATTTTAACTAGGAATAACCAAGCCATGTAACCTTTCGCAGTATTCTGTCACGTCCGATGCAAACTCATTTAAATTGCATATTAAGTATTAAATTGCATAAATTGCATAAATTGCATAATTGCAAAATTGCATAAATTGCATAAATTGCATAAATTGCATATTTTATGAGGTTAGTTCAATGCAATAGGCTTAAAGTAAATGGAGTGACTATTGACTTGATCTAACTAGAATACATAATGGAGTAGTGATACTGATATTATACTGATATTAGCAGAACTGTCGATATCGTTATTTATAGTTTACGGTTTTTGTTTGGATCGAACGGTTATAACCTCAACGGTCCACACACTTCCCTAACAGTCCCTTTTCGAGTATAATCCTTCTGTCTCCTTTAATTGGTGGCCATGCAACTGTTTGTAGTATCAGAGTTAAATAGGTATAGAAATAATATAATTTCATTGGATATTTGCCTTGCTAGAACCGACCGAATATTTGATCAACATCTATCCTGAATTGAAAAACGATCAATTTGAGATTATAAATCTGCTACATAACAGCCATATATTTATCGTGCTTCAACAAGCTGTCATATCATTGGTAATAATCATTTCCTTGCCATCTTTGCCATTTTCAACACCATCATTCTGTTTCGACCAAGAAGTATATATTATGTATATATATATAATTATATATATATCAACCTTAATTAGTCTCTACGACTGTTAATGTTAAACGGGAAGTGTATCGCCAGGAAAGTGGCGCGTGATCGCTTGACTATATTTATATACTGTACTTTGAGATTTTGTGGTCCTCACAAAGCAACATCTCTACAAAACAGGTTGGTTGCGTGCGGAGGGAGTTGACTGTGTCTAGACCGGGCACTTGTCGCGACTCTCAACCATTTAGAGCAGTGATCGCAGCCGTCCGATAACCAGAGGGAGAGAGAGTGGGTCGTGGGAGGGAGAGAGAGAGAGAGAGAGAGAGAGAGAGAGGGGGTTCTTCTATCAGTTTTAATGACAACAGCACAGAACGGATTTTTTATTTGTAGAGGCTGTGATGCGAGTCTTTAGGAAACAATGTGATTGGGAAAGAAATTTGTACTTAAATTTTGATTTGCAATAATTGAGGATGCGCTAAAACGGACCAAATGTTTGAAGCGATTCCACTGTTCCAGTGTTCCAGTTGCTGGCAGAACTCTTGAATTCTAATTACAGAACGGCTAGACGAAGGTAGAACTTCAACTTTGACAGAGATTTCGCGTGAAAACTTTTAAAACTCTTATATATAATGGACATTTCTGTCGATAATCAGTTACACAATTTAAAGATCTTGACACCTCAAACATACTCTTACTCATCGCGAGGTAAATCGTGCAAAAAATGATGATATAAGTGTGTTTCCTATTGTGTTAAACTTGTGTATAAAGTAGAATCAACATGATGACAAAACTCAGATTAAAATATTAAAATTATTAATTTCCGCTTAACTCCCAGACAAATATGAGCGGATCTCATACACTGAATAATTGTTTTGTAGAACACTCTCTTGATATAATCATCAAAATCTACTGATCGCTGATTCTAATTGATCACCGATTCTAACTGTCTTAGCTACTGTTAAAAATTTGTCGAGTCTTCAGAAAGACTCGTCCGTCAACCTAAAACGCTAAATCGCTACACTCTGCCGCACATATCACAGCTTCGTCAATTAAAAACTAACAATAATCATAAAAATTACTCAAAAAGATCTTTCCTCACTCTTAAAACTTGTTTAAGTTTTTTGATAGTACATATTGGGCTAGCATACTCAACAAGCACTTTATTTCTTCATTAAATGGGAAGCACTGTCACTGCAGTGCAGTTTCTCAATTCACACAGAACACTTATTCATCTTATGATTACTGGCGAACATATTCGATACCCTGTCTTCGATTATGATAGCTAGCTTGCTAAAAAGTAAACGAAAAGTTTTTAAATATCCTTGATTAAACAGGTAAAACCAATTATCCCGGATCAAAACGGGCTTAATAAGTGTTCAGCTTGGATTGTTCTTATATGAGTTTTCAATTTCATTCCTATCATCAAACGCTGGATCCAAATCGTTGAAAACGATACGTAGTTTTGAGCATGTTCGCCTCAGTAAGTTTAGTCAGTCCAAAAGTGCATTCTAACTCGCATACCACGTGGCACGCGCGCGCACGTGGAACATGCTCGAACTTGACTACCACACAAATATAAGAGCATCTCCATCACTGACTCCTTCTTCTGTAGCTGTGTATCGTATCCCCGTTGAAGTGTCCACTGTTTGAGGCCAGGGTCCAGTCCTTGGTGTAACCTTGTCTCCAGCCTTGTCTCCAGCTTCTACAAGGCTAATTTGTCAGAACTTTTATTTAAAGAAGGAGAGCAAATAATAATATTATTTTTCTCCTTGTTATGAAAACATGGTGATCTGAAGTTTTGAGCACCAGTTTTTAAATACGACAATAATGTTCCAATCAGTAAATTACAAAGAATCGTTGAGTGAACAGATAAGGAGAAATTATGAGACATATAAAATGACGCCGACACAACGTACTGAAAATCACAAAAGCGCAACTTTAGTACAAGATATTAGGATTTCGGAAAAAGCTCCAGTTATTTCAATGAAATAACTGGTAGAGAAATGAGTAAGTGCTTCACTCCATATTTACAGGGTATGGTTAAGCTAAAGATCGATACTTTATTTTATTATTTAATGGTTTAACAACATAGCTTTTAAAATTTGAAAGGGGATTAAAATTTTTAATTTATTTATATTTCACAGCGATATTAAATTTTATTGGTGTTAAAAAGTTATCAAGTCAGTAGCCACTTATTAATTATATACATGTCTGTCGATACATGGTTAATATCCCAAGTATTTACAACCCCTTTTAAATACCCATTAAGAGCGAGGGTAAAAACAATTTAGAACGAGGGTAAAAACAGTTTAATGCCAATTTATCACACACGAACTACCGTAGTCGTAGATAACTTAAATTTTTGGAAAATGAATGTCCTGCACAAATATATCTAGTAACGTCCAATTCTAAAGTTTAAAAAGCCAATTCCACGAAAACTTCACGACACAAACATTACCAAACAAAACATCACGACTATGACATCCTAACCTGTCCAGATTTGAGGAGGTACCGAGATCCAGTTGTCCAACGAAGTAGACATAACATAGGCCCCACTCTGTGAGATCCCATATAGCATGTACTGAGTCCTAGTTACTGTTAGACCTGTGGGAGTGTGGGGTGAGGGAGGGTGATTGAACTTCACCTGTTACTCGCCATCAGGTTTCTTGAAGACTGCCAAGTGTTTAATGTTGCCATGGGGTGGCAAGTCCCATTCATCGTAGCCGATAGTTGCACTGCATCCTAATTTAACCAATGATTCATAACTAGGGTATAACTAAATAACCTTTTTTTTAGTTTAGTAGCAGTTTTCTATGTTTAAACGGTATTATTATCGACTCATATGTTTTGAGAACATCCTTTACTAATATTTACCAGAATGACGTTTATTTAAAACCATTACTTAACCGCCCAGATCGGTCAGTGCAATTTCTTAATTTCTGAGTAAATTCGTGATTCCCAGTATTTACATATTGGTACCTGATCGCCGTGTCGTTCCGCTGAAACCACGCGGCTTCTATTTAAGATATTTAGCTGTTACAGCAGGTTACTGTTAAGATACGACACAACTGTTTATCATGCAGACAGCAAGATATAGTAGGATGGAGACTTACTAGTTAGTACTGCTACCATTATCGAGCATTATTGGAACTTTTGCTGGGTTGGTAAATATGGCATCGCCATGATAACAACAATAGTGGTATTGATTAAAGTCTAAAATAACATTAGTTTATGTACATATATAAAACTATTTATTGACTATAATATACTAATGTATTGATATATATAATATATATGATTGGAAGATAAAGGTCCTCTTATTATAAGTAAATTGGTGTTGATCGTAAAGCTAAATGTGTCGTAATATCTCCCGCACTGTTATCTATCTTACAACCAAGCTCCCACTTAGCTTCCCACGCTTCCACCAACTTAACTCTTGGAAACCACCAACCAACCACCAACATCAGCCAATAGAAACGCCGAGCACCACCTCTCGGCCAATCAGCAAGCAGTGTTCAAGTCACGTGTGATGACTCGTAACTGTTTACCCAGATAAAGAGCTACTTATGAGCCATGCTACATTGTCCGCATCTAATTGAATGGAATTGCATTAGTATGCCACAAACTCCGGGTCACAAGGCGAGAGAAGCTTCTCAAAGTTTGCAGTATGAAATACTATATTATATTTGTTGGTTGTCATGGTAGTTGGTCACGTGGGATAGCACTGTCATTTTCACTAACCTCACGAGCTGGAGGACCACTTAACCTTTGAGAATTTGGGGTTTTATTACTTTAATATAGGACTGATTTCACGGCCTCAACATTAGCAATTAGACTGTTTTAGGTTTGAAAGGTAATGGTGTCTAGTTTTACTTCGTTAAAATTGCAAGTTAAGGGATCAACATGTTAACTAATAAAGCAGTGAGAGTGCTATAACTGCGTTCCATTTTACCGTATTAAAACATGTGATACAACCATTTTGATCCTCCACTCGACAAAGTTTAACTTTTTTACTGTTGAATCACTAAAATACAGGCTCACCTAAAAAGGCTTCTTTTCCACTTTCAACTTTTAACCAATTCCAATCAATCTCACTTATAGTATCATCTCAATTATACAGGTTAATAGCAGGTTAGGCACAGTTTTACTTTCACTTTAATTCTGCAAAGCAACCGTTTTGTCTCTGCCATTAGAATTATTGACAGTCAATAATTCCTAACTTTAAAGTACGAATAGAGAGAGAGATGACCAACTCCCACAACACAGGGGTGACAAGGTGACACGCACTAAACATACAAGTCTCATTTGTAGGCCCTGAAGGTCGTACTGTCACGTGCACGTGTCACGTGTCACGCGCACTGTCATGTAGACGGGGAGACAGTGGGGGCGGGAGGGAGGAGAGGGAGGAGATTTTAGGGGGATAAGCGGTGAAGGTGAGTTAGAGATAAATACTGAGGGTGACATTTGGGGGATATGTCTAAAGGTCGGCTGTCAGGGTTGTGGTACTAATTTCACAGAATAATTGGTGTCAAAAATTAGGTTCGGACATATAGGAATTGTTTTAAGTGTCATACAGATATGCAGCGAAGGTCAAAATCTTGATGGCGCTCAAACTGTATCGCATAGGAGGTAAGATTTTTTGGCTATAAAACAAAGTTTACAAAAACATTATCCAGTTTATTTATTAGATTATAACAAAATGCAAATCTGACATTCCCAGGGGAAATGGAGCAAAAAACTGAACGCTGAATTTTTGGGACATTGATAAACACAGTTTTTTTGTTGACTTGATTGTTGGCATTAAAACGACTTCAAAGTTCAAATTGATGGATGAACCAAAAGGTAACAACTTAACTAAAACAAGGTAGATATAGTTAAATATATTATATATAATATAGTTAAATAATGAATATAGTTAAATATGATATTTATATAGTTAAATAGATATATTATATGATTAAATATAAAAAGGATATCATACCAATGAGGCTGTGAATAGCAGAGTTGAGTTTCACCAGCACGCCTCCCCCCAGTACAGCAGAGCAGGAAGTGTTGCAAATGTACAGCGTGTCATGATCACGTGATCCCAGAATCCCTTTACCGTACATTTCTGAAATTAAGTATGGTGGAGCTAGCGCTAAAATAATTATTTCCCGGACTCCCGAGTGATGGACTAAGCAAATAAAATGTTACTTTAAGTAGAATTTCGGCTATCTAGCGTCTTTAAAATCACACGAATACCGCGATGTTACTTTCTTGTAGTTAAATGTCTAGTTCTTTATTTAGCAATTGAGCTCGCCATTGCATTCAATAACCTATTACAATTATTATTGTAGACTATTCTGTTATATCTTAATATGAGTCCTTGAATTATCTACATCTTTGAAATGAAATGAAATATAGCATTTATATCCCGCTAGTATCAGCAGCCAATATTCATTTCCTCTATATTTTTATTCGCTGATAGGTACATACGCTCATCATATGCTTATATAGGACAGTATCCTGAAACGCATCAAAAAGGTGCTCTACTAAAACGTCCTGGTTTCTTGAACTTGTCTAATGTGATATCACTATCGTCATCAAAGTTTATTGTCGTCATAACTTTCTCAGCCCAAGTACCAAGATCATTAGCAGCATTAACAAACATGTCCAAATATTCACTTGATCGACAAATGATTACACCGTAGAGTCAAAGTCCACATTTCCAATAATGTACTGTGAGTTGTATAAACATCAAACACAGTAGCAGGCAGCAGCTGAGTCGTAGTTCAATTGTAGCGATAAGAGCTGAGATAAGAGCTGAGATAAGAGCTGAGATAAGAGCTGAGATAAGAGCTCAGATAAGAGCTGAGATAAGAGCTGAGATAAGAGCTGAGATAAGAGCTGAGATAAGAGCTGAGATAAGAGCTGAGATAAGAGCGTTCAATAATGAACGCGTAACGAAACTACACACTACACACTACTTTACTTACTTATCTCATTTATATAACATATTTAATTAATTAATCAGATCCAGTTAACCTCCCCTGGGATAAAACCTCACTTAGCGTACTGTTCCAGAAAGCTTTATAATTGTTCAAGAATGATTTATAATATCTCAGAGAGACATAATTAATTAGTTCTTCTTCGAACATATTGAGAGTGCTGGTGACGCACCAATTACGCAGAAGAACCTATATTTTAATTGGTTCACCCATTTCACCAGAACTCTAACATTGTCTGGTGGGAGTGTCACGTGAATGCAGCTCAAACCCGCAGTAAAACGACCATTTAGCGAACCAGAAGAGTTGGCTTAAACTTTGGGAATTGATTTCTGAAGATAAATTGAGTAAATATGTCTTTACAATATTATCCCTTATATTGGATTTAAACGGTATGCTGTTCACGCGAAATTATGCAAGATGTACCAGAAAACTTGCTTCAACCTGATTCGACTTCTACTTCCAGTCAAGCCGGTAGATCGTCAATTCATAGTGTTGAACGCGTTTGCAAAAGCTATTTAAACAAGTTTATGGGACGTGGTGCTTATCCACCATACGATATCGTGACAGACATTTAGTGATGATTTACGGCTTCATACGTTAGTCAAGATGATTTACATGGTTGTGCTAACTGATTTGGTCTCGCCATTATTTGCTGCCCTCGGAATCTTCTCGATATAAATATATCATCGAGGTTCAATGTTCAAGGTATCATCCGAAACACGTCAATCGGTAACCGGAGTGTCCCCATTGGTTTAGGATGGTTTCTTCAGAATCCGCCCTCAACTTCCTGTCTCAGGGGTTTGGGGACTGCCACAATGATGACATTAATGACCCTTAAGAAACTATTTCTGTACTGAATGAATGCAGTGGCCACAAGTAAGACGTGTCTACCAAGACCAACTGAGTGGTTTGGTGCTTATATTTATATAAGTACCATTTATAAATCATCTTATACTTGAAACTTACAGCTACGTGGAGGACACGAATCACGATTAAACTATTATTAATAGGTTGCTTTATTGAAACTTAATAGTTGCAATATAGCATAAGGTAAGCGTGTCAAACTTTGACATGACTAGTTCTTAGGCGAAAAATTAAACGTTTTAAAGAATGCACTCATGATACTCTCAGTTCAAATACCTCTTTCCAAATCAGGATCAGCCAGGTGATGACGATGGTTATGAAAAAAATTTACATTCAACCTAATTTTAAAAGGCTTTTACCAATTCAATTTACCCTAACCCCAATTCGAATCCTAACCATTATCTCAAAGCTTACTATATACATAACCACAACTCTAACCTTAACCCTTACCATAAACAATCGAATTCGTGTTTTACTAGCCTGTCACGTGACCAAAACAGTTTTTTAGCGTAAAGAAATACATCGAATGAAGCTACTTTTTAATTCTCTGGGCCCTCCTCGGCGAATGATTTGGTGGAAACGATTCTAAAAAGAGGAAAATTCCAAGCCATGTCTAGCAATATTCTCTAAGAACATGTCAGATCACGGATACATAGTTAAAAGTTAAGGTCTGTGGACGACCGACCTTCAGATAGAAGAAATAATTAAAGAAATTACTGAGAGTACCTCAAACGTCCACCAACCCAACGATGATGATTTAATATGGCAAGGGGTAAGAAGATATCTAAAACGGTGTTTTGCTTTGCTACATTGCGTTCTGAAGAATTAATTTGTGGCTGGATCAGCATTTTCGACGCTGCAGTATGCTTGGAAACACTCCTGATTCCATCAACAATATAAGAAATTTGTCTGCCTCTTCTTGAAGCGATGTAATGTTATTCAGTATCCTCCGCCATCCACATCAATTCGATAACACCATCCGGGCGCGCGGCCATGTGGTTAAAACGCGCGGCTCAATCAGCGGTATGGCGCATTGACTATTACAAGAATTGTATTCGCGTGCGCTCTCACCAGCAATTTTAAGCAGTCAAAAACGCTGCTTACCTGGTGACGGGAAGGTTTCTTCGTGTTTCGGAGTAAAGTTGTTGATTATGATGGGCAACATTTTTGGTCCATTGTTGTCTGTTTCCGAATTATCGTACAATCTGAAACCAAGTTATTGTCACAGCAGTAAGGATACATCATACATCGGAATGTTTAATGTGAAAAATGTAGATACGGTCTATGAGCACGGTGGTCGATAAGCTGTTCACCAGACACAAATCGAGCGCGGAAGTGGTATCAGAGATATCATCATGCTGTAATTAACCCTTCTAACGCATCCTGATTTATAGAAATAAACTTCGCCTCAAACATGGAGTGGATTGTCCATTTATCTTAAAATCAGACGAAACATCCTTTAAAGTTTAAACCGATATAATATATTGGTGCTTCTTGAGAATTATCACACAAAAATCAATGAGGAAACTTCTGTTTTTTTTTCATTAAAGGGGGGCGTTAAAGGCTAAAGCTCATCAATATAATATTAGCAAGGTCCCAAAATATCTTCCTAGTTTCATTGCGTTAATATGATGAGTTTAAGGGCCCAGACACACTGTGACTTTTGTCACATGTGTTGTCACGTGTGTTGTCACGTGTGTTGTCACGTGTGTTGTCACGTGTGTTGTCATGTGTTCAGAGGTTGTGCCACAAGTCACCAGAGTCGCCAGAGTACCCGGTCTGTTGGCCTAACAGGACGCTTGGCCTAACTGGACTGATGGCCTACCAAGTATACTGAAAAAAACGGACGGATGGCCTGATCCTAATTTAGAACAGATTTTAGGCCAACAGTCCACTTTAGGTCGCTTGGACTAACTGGACTGAGTGATGTGACCCGTACGTGTACTGTATTACTCTTAACATGAGCTGACAGAGCATGCTATCCGAGCCCGATGACGTGGACCAAAGCATCTGTGGATCAGAGACCTAGAATCGAGTCACGTAGTGTGTTTAGCGGTCGTGACAAGGGTACAATGTACATGACAAGTGACAACCTCCCATGCACGTCGTCACGTCTTTCAAAAAGTCGTGCCTAGCTAAAATTCGTGACAAATGGCACAGTGTGTTCGTGTGGTCGTGCCTATACTCCTCGTGGCAAAAGTTATCATTACAAAAGATGACAAAAGTTGACAAAAAGTCATAGTGCGTTCGGGCCCTAAGAAATTTGAAGATCCAAAGTATCTTATTTACAGGATGATGTTGCCGTATTAAGTAACTAAAGTTACTAAAGCTTGCTGGATCACGAAAGTATGCCCACTATTTACTTATACAAATATGTAAGTAAATAGACTTACGATACAATGGCAGTTGAGCAGTCACTGAATGATTTGTAGTTTTTGACTGACAGAACAGTTTGCCACACAATGGTTTGCGTCGTCAGAAGCTCCCTTTTAGATAGTTTCACTCCCAGCCCTGACCTTTCTACTGTTCCTGGGCAAGAAATAATGTTTGTAAAAGTCAAAATGAGACGAGATACCGAGATGGAGAGATCCTGTTTCGTTAAAACCTTTTTCCACTCATTTCGGACTTTCTACCAGCAGATGCACTTTATTATAATAAATATCCCGAGACACCCTATAATATCTCACTAACCGGTTGGAGCATCTGTAGAGATAACTTCCAGGTCGAAGAGAGAAACGTACAGTTGCAGCATGACATTGTAGGCTGGTCCGGTTGAGTTTACTCTGAAATCAGATATTTGTTGATTAAACCTGGCACTAACCTCCCTCTATACTATATATACTATATGTACTCCTACTAATCTCCTACTACAGCACTTATCTTACCCTCTAACCCAGCACTTATCTTACCCTCTAACCCAGCACTTATCTTACCCTCTAACCCAGCACTTATCTTACCCTCTAACCCAGCACTTATCTTACCATCTAACCCAGCACTTATCTTACCCGCTAACCCAGCACTTATCTTACCCTCTAACCCAGCACTTATCTTACCCTCTAACCCAGCACTTATCTTACCCTCTAACCCAGCACTTATCTTACCCTCTAACCCAGCACTTATCTTACCCTCTAACCCAGCACTTATCTTACCCTCTAACCCAGCACTTATCTTACCCTCTAACCCAGCACTTATCTTACCCTCTAACCCAGCGCTTATCTTACCCTCTAACTGAGCACTTATCTTACCCTCTAACCCAGCACTTATCTTACCCTCTAACTCAGCACTTATCTTATCCTCTAACCCAGCACTTATCTTACCCTCTAACTCAGCACTTATCTTACCCTCTAACTCAGCACTTATCTTACCCTCTAACTCAGCACTTATCTTACCCTCTAACCCAGCACTTATCTTGCCCTCTAACCCAGCACTTATCTTACCCTCTAACCCAGCACTTATCTTACCCTTTAACCCAGCACTTATCTTACCCTCTAACCCAGCACTTATCTTACCCTCTAACCCAGCACTTATCTTACCCTCTAACTCAGCACTTAGATTACCCAAATGATTATCTAGTTCTATAATCTATAATCTATCTGTCACTCTTTCAAATGACTCATGAGACTATTGATCATCATGTATTCTATGGTAGAGTTCTGTACCAGCACTTGATATGCAGCACATTCCTTAAATTGTGTTCTAATGATTGTGAACCTCATCAGTCATCCCAAGCCCCGTTGCCTTTATTATTACAGAAACCTCACAAACAAAATCACAAACAAACAAACACACAAACAAACACACAAACAAACACACAAACAAACACACAAACAAACACGCAAACAAACTCACGTGTGGTAAATAGTCACGATGTAAGTTACAAGAGATTTAGAGTTCACTTCAATAACGTCACCACAATCAGCACCGTCAACCTCACACTGGATATTCACGTCCAGCTCTGGGATCTGAACTTTTACCGGTAGAGTGGCCGTGTCTTCTCCTCTGCAATGATAATAATTGTAGCTGAGGTACTTGGATAAAATGTGGACCAAAATCAAGATCTGGAACGTTTTCCATGCACTAAATCGTATTGATACATATGTCAATATTTATAGCAAACCGGAGCCCCCTTTTCATCATGCAATTATTATTCTATAGAATTTCCTTAAATCTTAAACAATATCTTTCCGTCTTTACCTTGTGCAATTGATAACATAGCCCAAGATAAAAGTGATAATCATCAAATAAAGTGCCATTTCCGTTCAATACAAGATAAAACAGCTCCCCCGAAGATAAAAGATCGCAAAGTAAAAATTCTAACGAAGATCTGGTGAGTACTCAGTTTTTATACCAGTATTGACTTATCGGTTTACTAGTCTGTGAGCTCACAAATCCGGCTTTTAACACACTCATTATGCATAAGACTCCCGTGTAGAACCATGGTGCCAGTATATTATATACATGTTGTGATTGTGAATGATGTAAATGTGAGTGCGATGCATGCATAACATGTAAAACAATTGACTTGTTTAACATTCGACAGACTTTTTTAAAAAGTCAATGAATTAGAATCAAACGTAAATAGATCGTAAGGACTAAGGGATGTTTCTCTCAAACAATGATTTTGATAATCTGACGATCGATATCCACGTTTCACGTATCAGCATGACGGGCAAGCTATGCCCTTCTGATGGCGTCAGATTGTGGTCATGGAGCAGCGGGGAGGTCAGACTATTCAGTGCTCTAATTTGTGTTGGATTTTGTGAAGGCATTCACAGAGTTAGCCGTGTTGTTAGAGTTAACGCCCATTTTCAGTTGCGATTCACATTCCATAGTCACCATGAGGGTCCACTTAAAATATATTGAGCTTGGACTTAGTGAGTGGTCACCGACTGAAGTTTGAGCGGTTTTTTGTTTAGTATTGGGACTCTTCAAGGACTCTTCATTCAAAAATGAGACCCATGATGGACAGACTGAATCGATGCTAACTAATTTATTGACCCCATAGTTTAAGACAATATATGAGTTATTTATGAGTAGTTAATCTTGTAAACTATCACGTGACCCACCTGCCAAACCGGACACTTCCAGTCACGTACTGATCCGTTTTGTGGGAGGTGTTGATGAACACAGAGAGCTCCAGTACAAACGAGTTAGCTCTTCTGTCCTTCGTTTCGTTGCTACATATCACCTCTCCTGCGAGGTACAGTTAAACATTCCCGCAGTTGAACACTCTGATTTAATTTTAGCTTGTTGTAACTATTTCACGTTAACTTCAACCGTAGAATTGAAAGTAAATTCGTTTGTCAAATAATTGTAACTGTATAACGATTAGACATAGAGATTCTTATTATTAAGATATTTCAATACATACAACAAAAATATTTGATGGGATCAGATAATATATTTATCATCCTGAATTTTATACGTATGAACAAGCAGGCCACTACGCATATGTATAATATATATATATCCAACAGTCGTTATAGTTGTTTACTATTTAGCTCATGAGTTCACACAAAACGCTGTTGTTTTATAATCACGTGACTCTCTTCGAGTTTTGGTTTTCACACAAAAGATTGTGTTTTAGTATTGAGATCACTCGCATTGTCCTCAATATCAAGTGAAGCAGGTTGGACTGAGTTAACCCCACATTTACTCCCCCTTCTCTGTCCAGAAGTAAAACCCCTCTCTGGGAAAGTATACCAACACAACAGGAAAAATATTGAAGCTACGAAAATAAACACGAAGTAAACAGCTCCCAGAATCTTGGTAAGCCCGTCCATGTTGTAGAACCAGCAGTTGGAGTCATCCTCGCAGCTCGTCTTCCACACGTAGCAGTAATTATCAACAAGGTACCCGATGAGGATGGGACCGGGGATCTGGCCGAATAGTTTGGTGGTGATGGTCCGGAGACCCTGTGCTGCAGCCCTGTCCTCTTCCGCGACTATCCTCAGGTAGACTAGCTGGTGAGGTGGGTACGCTATAAACCTCAGTAACATGTACAGGAAGGCACAGATAAGGTACACGATCAGTTTACCGTTACAGTCCTCTGTCGGGCATCGTCCTGCTCGCGCGGTCCCTCCGTCTGATGGCGTCTCCGTGTTTACAACGCACGTGCAGTTAGTATAGAGCAGTACACCGCCGCGCAGAGAGGGACTGCCCTGACACCCAGCGAAACAAGGGGAGAAGTATGTTAGGTTGTCAGTCCCACATACTGGATTATAGAGCATGGTTGTACACTCACATTCCTCGTTACAGTGGCTTTTCAAACCGGACTGGCTGTCTTGAATACCAGATTTGGATGCGCCAAATCCACCACTTACACTGCTATTTCCAGCGTAAGGATGGGTCACTCCAGCAAAAGGTACTTGTTGACAATAAAACAAGTTTCCCAGTAGAAATGGAGAACTGATAAGTGTTGTGATTGCCATGAAAAGCGCTGCTCCTTTTCCAGTCATCTTGAAAAGTTTCGTGAATATTCCCCCAATAATTGATCCAAGGGGAAAGGATATACCATAGATGATGCAGATGTAGAGACCCACAGAAGTGCTATCCAGGTTAAAAGCATGAGCCATGAACTTTGGGGTGAAGAGGATAAAAGCAGCTACCTGGAGAAACTGAACAATATCCCCGAGAAGAAGAAAAAGCAAAGATTTATTCCCAAATAGTCGCTTTAAAAACTTCTTAACGTCCATGCTAACCGAGGTTCTGGTCTCCTCGTCCGTTTGGTTGAAGGAATACCTTATTCCCATCTCTTCTTTGGCACGACTAATTTTCAAAGCAGCGGGCATTTGTCTGGGAAACCCCACCAAAGGTATGGTCAACAGGATCAGTGGGATCAGTCCGAGAAGGAAACCGAGCCACCACGCACCAATCCAGGCTGGAGATCTAGGATTGAGTACGGGAGGAGGAGGTCCCAATGTTACCCACCGTCTCAGGAGCCATCCTCCCACCAAGATGGATACAGGGTACCCTATAAGAGAGATACCACCCTGGATAGCCAGGATAAAAGCCACTTTAGTTGGGTGGTAGAGCTCGTCAATGTAGGTAACGCCTAGTATTCCCTGAGGGGTGATGCCGATACCTTGCAGGATGTACGATATGAGCAGGATATAGTAAACAGTTCCGAAAGAGTTGGCGGGCTGGGAACTGCACGTGTCCTTGGCACATATTTCTGGCAAAGAGGTTGTTCCAGTGAAGTTGAGACTATTCTCGAATATAGTCTCAATATCGACCATCCTCTGACAACCCAACAGGATGATGACACCAACAATAAACAACAACTTTCCCACTGATAACCACCTCACTTTGAACTTATCACAGAGCTGACTGACAAAGATAGCACTGATAACTCCAGAGAGATCAGTGACTGCCACTAAAGTGCTCGACTTCACACTTGACAAGTTGAAGTTCCTCTCAATACTGTCCAACACAATCGAGTTCATGGACAGAGTGAAGGTGATAAAGAAGGTACACATAGTGAAAACACCCAAAAATCTGTTTGGAGTCGCCATGAACTGGAGACAGTCCGGTCTGATTCCAAACACTCCATACCTTCTCCTCTTCTCGTCTCATCTTCAGATATCACCTCCACACGCGACATAGAGTGCCAGATACAGTAACCAAGCGGAAAGTGCTGGTGGCAAAGTGGTGGAGTTCATGCGAGAAGTATTTTAGGGCCCTCCCTGGATGTTTATCATCAAATCAGCGATATCAAGTATTGTTTGCGATAATATACCAACAAACAATCCTCCTCGCCAAGTGAAGCAGGAGATTAATGAGCTTTGAGCTTATCTAATCGGTAGCCAGTATAGTGCTGCACTGCCCGAATGAGTGATTGGGAGAGGGAATGAACATTAACATGCCGGTATGAACTTAGTGCAGCACTGGACTGCGTGAGTGGTAGAGGGAATGAACATTAGCACACTGATGATAACTTAGTGTGGCCTTGTGGTCATGGCCTGGGGTCGTGACTCGTGCTATCAACTACCGAGGTGCACAGTTTCGCATTAATACTGTGGTCTTTAATCCGAAATACAAATCGCATTTTAATGCACATTGGTTTTCCCCACTGCGAGCTGCGCGTGCAGCACAATTTCGGGTAGATCAATATTCACTATGGCAAGGTTTAATGGCAGCTTTCAGCGTGTCACATTTTAAAACTTTTAAACCTGTAACCATACCTAAGGACAGAGTAAGCCCATCTTCAGTTGCCTCCACGAACGTTCCATCATCAAGACTCACATCATACACGTCATCATCTTCAAAAGACAGGAATGCCCCCACCTCCACAAGACTTAGTTTTTGTATTGACAGATCCTCTGAGAGCTCCAGGTAAACTGTCAGATCAGAGCTTCCTTTTCTTAAGAGAACCTGAAATAGTTTAATATATATATATAGTTTAATCAGGTTAATAAATTAGGAGATGAAATGCAAATACTAAGAGTCAGAATGACTCTTGAAGACGAATAAAGACGAATGAAGACGAATAAAGACGAATAAAGACAAATAAAGACGAATAAAGACGAATAAAGACATATAAAAAAGAATAAAGACGAATAAAGACGAATCAATGCGAACCTTGCATCTGATAGATTGTAATGTTTCCGGTGTAGGGACTGTTGTTATGTTGAAACTTATCTCCGGCTCTCCAAGCTGTAAGTTTGTTTGGAAAGCTTTACTATAATTCCAACCCTCTTCGGATGAATCAAAACTTGGACTCCTGAAATTGGTTTGATAATTAATATGGAGTTTACATGGTCATTCATAAAAACATTTTTTCTCGTTTAGTTTGCGAAATAGGTAAGAACCTGAACCCGGGCCCTTCAACAAAATGACATTTTAACACATATGTAGAACATTAAAAATGGACCAACATGTAATTAAGAAGGACGTTGTAGGTGTAACTCTTTCCCTCCGTATCAGTCGTGTCTGGTATCTCACATTGTATCGAGATAAGTATCTCCTCTTCAAGTGAGATGTCTGGTAATGAAACTGATTGTGTCGTGCTGTTTATAGTTTTAACCTGAATGTGTTAGAATGTTACCGAGCAATAAATTTTATGAAACATAGATGGTATACATTTTATGAAACATAGATGGTATAAATTTAGCTTGTTTGATATAGTAACTTTAGTGAGGCAATATTGTAGCAGTCTTACGCTGGATCGAAACATAAATCAAGAATTAGATTTTAAATTAATTCTGTCATCAATTTTTCTGTAGATCTACTTTGACCGCAGAATAATTAACAACCATTCAAAGTAACAGCTTGTTTTAAAACTTGACTGGCTCTGCACACTAACTTTAAGAGTGGAACAGTACCTGAACTAGTCCAGTAAGAGCAGTGCTATCTTCACATATGTGGGGAGTGTTACACTAAGGGTTACACTAACTGTTAAACTAAGTGTTACACTAAGTGTTACACTAAGGGTTACACTAAGTGTTAAACTAAGTGTTGCACTAACTTTAAGAATGGAACAGTACCTGAACTAGTCCAGTAAGAACAGTGCTGTCTTCACATATGTGGGGAGTGTTACACTAAGTGTTACACTAAGTGTTGCATTAAACTGTTACACTGAGTGTTACATTAAGTGTTAAACTAAGTGTTAAACTAAGTGTTACACTAAGTGTTACACTAAGTGTTGCACTAACTTTAAGAATGGAACAGTACCTGAACTAGTCCAGTAAGAACAGTGCTGTCTTCACAAATGTGGGGAGTGTTAACCAATAATACGGGATGTTCAGCGTCACTCCGCGAATCTTCACTGTGCTGAGGATAGTGGATTGTGAGCAAGAACCTGTACTGTTGTTTATAACTCTTTTTCTTATATATGTTATATCTCTAGAGAAATGTTGGAAATATTTGATATGATCACGTGACGGTTAACTGACAAAGTAAAATATAATACAGATAGTTAAGATAAATAACTTCCTACGGTCCCCTGAAAGTCATGCAGATTACTGACCGACACAGTGAGTGAGAGCAAGACAATGTCTCCAGGAATGTACCCAACACCTCGGTCTCCACTCTCCATCTTCACCACCAGACGAGGTGTCCTTACTTCAACCTGTCAGATAAACTGAGTTATTCAACTCGTTGCAGATTGTAACACATTCCAACATTGTACAAAAATTACGTTTTCCAAAGAAATACCAGATAATATATTATCTAATATGTATGATTTTTTCGATCACATGATATTTATTAAATAATTCACTAGCTTAAAACAGTTTAACTTAACAACTAATCAAACATTACTACTGAATGATAGAATGTTACACACCGTCCTACTGATCGCCACCTCCGACTCTCCCAGAGTGGTAGTGAGACTCATCTCGTACTGATCCCGCTCTTCTGGCACCTCCAGAGTGTATATCAGGGATAGGAGGGAGGTAGACGTGAGGAGGTATGAGTCTTGGCTACGTTTGGAGACGGAGAAGGATTGGATCTGGATAGCACGGGATGATAGCTGGGAAACTGATAGATCTGAACCTGAAAATTTATATTTAATAATTCCATGATACAAATTTATTATTTAAAGGAAACGAAACCTCCGCCCCCTTCAGGCATTTATAACGATTGGTTGATAATAAAGCAAATATGTATCCAGGTACACACAATAACCTGCAAGTGAAAAGTTGAAACTCAACAAGAATTGCGCCCGTTGTTTCGTTTTGGCGGACGCTAGATTTCCATTTCACATTTACTATAAATTTAAGTATTACTATAAGTTCCAATCAGCTCACTTCAATCTTCATGATAATAATATTGATCAATTATGCATCAAATACGGAAAACACTTGAAATTCAGTTCAATTGCCGTAGAACTTAACTTGTATCTGTAATTCAAGAAATTATCAGCAAAGGTAAACTATACTCGTGTACACACCAATACACTACGCGTGCCACGTACAAATTGGGTGTATTACCTAATAGTAATATTATACATTACATGCATCATATACACAGTCGCGCCGCGCATTCATAGATCACAGGCTATCTATACATCACATCTCCGCAAGCAATCCTCGCGCGCGCCCAACTTTTTCGTTGCATGGTAACGAACGAACACACGACATATTTAAACCCACCTATCTCGTTCTCCAAGTGGCTTTTTTCGATGTTAAGGTAATTAATCCTAATTCTAATTCCTACCTTCAACATTCGACAAAGAAGACAATGGAGAACGCCGAGAGACAGAAAACACGATGCTACAACGAGAGAATACTTTATGTAGAGCACGGGTCATTCGCTCCATTAATATATTCAGTAACGGGTGGCATGGGACCTCAAGCCAGGACATTTGAGAAACTGCTTTGCAACAAACTTGCTTATAAGAAGAAGCAGAATTACAACGATATTATAAATTATTATCGGTGTAAATTATCATTTTTAATTAGGAAATTAATTTTATTGTGTATTAGAGGATCAAGAAATACCTCAAACAAAACTTACGAATTATCTAACATGGATGATTTAGAATTTAACTCTTTCGAATCGAAAGTCAACTAATTTTTCCAGTCCCATGGACTGGGTTTTATTTTTGCAATGATGATTTTCATAATATATAACCTGTAATACTATTCTGTATATATCTAATTTCGTTTTCCAAAAAAAAACCTATCTCGTTCTCCAAAATCCACGTTTTTCTGCAAAAACCTCCATTCGTAACCTTTCACTAGTGCCTTTTTTCAAAAGGGTGAAAAGGAAAAAATGGCGAGCTGGAGGCCAGTCTTACAGAGCTACTTCAGCTATTGAGTTATATCCAATTGAAGGGTAAGACTGGATCTGGAGGAGCAACTTTAGGGCCTACGAAATAATGTCTACCGGTATTTTGTCGCGCTGAACATCCTGCACCCTTTGAACATCCTCGATTTGCTTGAATGAAAAAACCCACGGTACCCACCTGTAAAACGTATACTCGAGAACAGGAGGACACACCCAATAGTTGAACTAGTAACATCAATCTGTCCAGTACCTCCAACAAGATAAGGAATAGATAGGTCTAGTGTAACCTTCAGGACCTCATGGGGCAGGAGAGAGAATTGAGGAGGAGTTAGGATAACCACCGGTGAGATAAGGTACGCTCGGGGCAGCACCATATCGCTGAAAATTATATGTTAAATGTACGTATGTCTCAGCTAAATTCATCTCACGAGCTCAATGATCACGTCAAGGGATTAATTGTCGTTCATTTTACAAAATTTATTTAACACTACTCAAACGATTAAGAAATATGTATACCGGCTGATGTCGAGAGAAAACTCAGAGAGCAGTGAAGTTCCAACAAGAACCGTCAACACAGGTTCAAGCATCATGAGCTTCTCCGGAAACATCTTGATATCAAATTGGAATTCTAGCGTCTCCTCAGACTGAATATTAACATTTCTCTTTTCAATGTTGCTAGCATCAGTGGGCTTGATGAGGTATTCCAAAGTTTTAATGAAGAAAGAGCAGCTGGCTGTATTGGAGACAAGGATTTTGTAGGATATCTCTTCTTCTGATTTGATGTACGGTGACCCAGAAGATACGAGAGAAGAATCTATGGTAACACTTGGAGTACAGGTTGATATTTTCTGTGTTAATAGGTCTGATGCTTCAGATCCGACAATGATTTTGTAGTTCATTACTGCCAGGTTATTGTTCATTTTGGTGAGAATAAGGCTGCTCTTTAGGGTAACAATCTGATATTTCAGCTGGTCAGTAGGAACCGATGGAGAGAATGACAAGCTGATCTTGGCACACGAGGACTCCAGTTCTCGTTTACCCTCAACCACGATGACGCTTTCAAGAGATCTAACTAACTCAACCTCAGTCAAAATAAAGTCCTCGTCATTTCCACACAGAACCTCAACCTCTACAAATGCTACCACTTCAGACACATTTATCCTCAGTAAACTTTCAAGAGAGTTCCCAACAGATAGAGAACTATCCACTGGCTCCAACGAAACTTCTACAGACGGAGAGTGACCAATTTCAATAGTCTCCACAAACTCATAGCCTCTCCCGTAAAGAGGGTGAGATTTAGCTGTAACAGTCAGATCACAGGTGACTGGTGTAGCATCTGGGATATTATTGCTGATAGTTGCAGTGATAGTGCAATTGTTATCTTGACAAGATAAGTCGGTGGAATGTGTGTAGTTGCATGAGAGACTGGTTCTGATATCGTACACGGTACCGTTGAAGACCAGGTCGAAGGATTTCTCAACGTTATTACCTGCGTCCACCATCTGAAAATTAAACCAGATTATGTGAATATCTTAATTAACGCATTGTACAAAATTTAGTGATAATTTAATTTTGTTTAATGGAAACAACAATTTACAGCACATTTTCTATAAATCAATACAAATATTATTTTCAATCCAAATCTAATAAAATACGTCGCAGTGGTACCTTTCTATCACCTTTAAGATTCTCAAACTTAAGAGAAATCTCAGCAACACGTATCAGATGATGTGTCACAACCTTGCCGTTGATATCAACTGTTATGTTAGCGTTTTTCATGCTTTCATCAGTCAAATATCCGTTAATTTCCATTTTGAGCTCCCGACCTAAAATGAAGAAATTAGAAAAGCCTGGCTTGAGTTCAAGAGAAATTCATTGCAGAGAAAAATAAATACATTGATCGCCGATTTGAGGCACAATTCTGATTTCTAGGTACAACACCAACCTCCGGTCATGTCAGACAATAACAACGTGTTTCCTTTCACAACTGCTGAATTCAACTCTGTCAACAGTTTCAACTCTGTTAGGAACTGACAGTGATCCTCACAGTTCACGGTTATGTTCACATCTCCTTTTCCTTTCGGCATGTCGGTATTTACGAAAATTGTGAAGGTTTGTCCAATAGGAATTCGTTCGTGGGAGAGGTTAATGGATGCTGCAATTCAAAAATCGTCAGTGAATTATGGACAGCTATTTAATAGCTATTCACAAAAAATCAAGAAAATGTCATCAAAAATGTGGAAAAGTGAGAACATCCCGCAGTTTATAATAAAATTTACCTGAAACACCGCTGATACCAATGCTACCCGCCGTCTCCACCAGATAATACTTCCTCCCCACATCAGTAGGAGTACTACAATACTCCAACACCAACCTCACTTCCTCAACCGCCCCAAATTCTGGCAACTCTCCAAGAACTAGGGAGACACTCCCTTCCTTCTCCTCTCCACTCTCCAGTTTAGAGGCAATCACACCAGCGGATAACTCACGGAACATGGTGCTGTTAGATTTTAACTTTAACTTGTAGGCGGGAGTTGAGGAAGTTGGGGTATGGCGGATGGTGTAGCTGATTGTTATCGTATCATCTTTTTGGTATTTTTCGTCACTTGAATCTGAGATGGTCACCTTTAAACTCAACTTGGGTTCTGTGACTGTAAAAGATACCTCCGCGTTGGTTTCCTTCTTCCCGCCAAAAACTTTGTGATTTATCACCAGAGTAAATTTCACCAGATCATTATCGTAAACTTCCTCGTCAGCAAACACGAGGATGGGCAATTGTAAGGACAGAGTATCTGGCTCCGAGCCAGTGTTGGTGATATCCTGGATACTGAGGTCTGTTCTGGTTATGAGGTGCCGGACTGCCCTCTGTTTGAAGGATGTGGAGATGGGGTTGCCCGATGAGACCTGTGGAGAAGAAAATGTTTCATTTATCAAATTTACAGAATTATTGATCATGCCTATAGCTGATAACAGAAACGAAAATCCTACAAGTAACAAGTAAAAACCTTTGCACCATCAACCACCTCAGCCAGTTCCCTATCGTTTAACAGGGGATGTTTCACGTTGATATCAAGATCAGTTCGGCACACAGGTAGGGTTATAGTGATGCAGATGAAACCAAGACCTCCAACCGATACCTATTGACTAAACAGTTAAATATCAGCACAGAACATCTGTTGGTCGATGAACCTTTATAAAGTTATAAAGATCACACAATTATGAAAAATAACCAGCAGCCATTATTTACTACCATACAAAACAAACATAATAACAATGTACCCTTTACCTTATTTTGGTTCTGACAAGTAGTGACATCCAGCTTGATATCCCTGATCCTCAGCTCGTTAAATTGTAACTCAGGGAGAGTGTAGTAAGCCCCACTAGTAGGACTAGTCGAGTAACTGAATCTGGTGGTGAGGGACACCGGGGAGAGAGGGAGGAGATTAGGGTTCACTGTTAGGGTGAAACTGAGGGACCGGGTATCGGAGAGTGTCACCTGGAAGAATGTAGATTAGTTTTTCAGATTATTTTAATGTAGAAAACAAATAATAGTTTGATGTACAGCTGCAGTTAAAAATCATTATCTTTAAAATTTGACCAAACTTTACTTGTTATCTCACCTGTCCAAGAGGAGTGTTAAGTTCATTACTACCACCAATACTAGCACCGTCTGTAGTAGAGTTCAACCAAAAGTTAAACGCATCACCCGACGACTCCCCCATATGGGATATAGTAAACTTTGTTGTGATAATTTCATTCCCGGATACCTCCCTACCATCAGCTACTTCAAAATCAACTTGAAGTCTGGGAACTGTTATCTGGATGGCTCGTGAGATGATGGCAGTGTTGATACCGTAGTTCACTGCAACTGTCACCCCTCCAGGCATTGTCATGAGTTCTCCAACTGTGGTCAGATCTCCAACACACACGATAGTCCGTCCACTTTCATCATTCACTAACGGTCCCATCTCTGCTACTTGACCGAGACTATTCATGGAGATCTTGGTAATGACATCAGCTCCTTCAAACAAACACTCGTATACCACGAACAATAAGTTTTCAGAGGACCTCCAGTTCATTTTAGAACCTGGAAAAACACCAACTGGCAATCTGATGGAAAGTTCAACAGCGACATTCTCATTCAGCTTGATCTTGTTCTCGCCGTCCAGGCCAGAGATGCTTAGGTCTAGGACAGGGTCTTGGCTTTTGTAGACAAATCCAGTTTTAACTCGATGATGTGCGGAGCGTCCGTTTAATGAGTTGCTGGAGTAAGTTGAGTCGATTACAATCTCGGAGCGTTTTCCGAGTTCCATAGATGGAGAAGATTGACATGACAACTGGATTTTAAGCTCTTGGCCGAGTTCCAAAACGTCGATGACAACAGTGTTGCTGGACACAGACACCTCAGCGTGGTCACTTGTACAAGAAAAGGCGGGAGATATGGTAGAATTAACACTATAAGCGTTAGCACTGGAAGTTTTCAGGTATGGCGGAGTACTATGCGAGTAGTGCAAGGTAATGTAGACAAGCTCTGCTTCCAGAGACGGTGTCACCGAAGACATTACCTCCAGAACCGGTTCGACAATCTTCAGTGTAAACAAGATGACATCCTCAATCATATCCCTCTCTGTAAGAGAATATCCTATGACAAGTCTCAACGAAAGCTTTCTCCCGTCCACATTCACATCGGAGTCATAAATCTGAGGTGCGATTGTGAAGAGCACATTACGGACAGGATCTTCAGGAGGATTGTAAAGCTTTGTGTAGCTCATCAACCCATGGTTTAAACCTTTAGTTATCTGCAGGTTCTCATAAGTCAGAGAAGTCATATTACTTGAGATCCCCGTCATGAGAACTGAATCAGTTCCATCGCCAGAAGCATGGACCGACAGATCAAGCATACCCCTAGGTATAGATATCAGACACGATATTTGCACCGTCTCCCCAATAGAGACAGCGTCACTGTTGTGCTGTGTCACCAGAATAGCAGTAGTCTGAGGCACACTGCTCAACACACTGTCAGGGTAGCTGGTCTTGCTTCTCCTCTGGAGAGCACCCGGAGAGTCCGACCTGTACATGATGTAGGATTGGAGGGAGATCTTGGTGCCGGGGTGGATGGTGTCCGAGATGTGGACTGTTATCGGAACTGTGTATTCGTCTCCTGAGGAGAATTATTCGATATAATCAACGATGATGATCATGAAATAAGTTTATAGTAAACAGTGAAAGCTGACAATCTGTAAATTTGTAAACCGATTTCTTATAAGTTATACCTAATTCGATAGAGTCCAATGCAAATATTGCAGATTCCTCGCTTTTCTCGATATAAACCATCTTACGAATGCCCTTTTTACTTCTGATTTCCAATTGTTCTGGCATCTGGATGTCACCTGAACCGAATTTAACTTATGACATAAATTTATGATTCAAGCAAATGTTTCGATAACCCCGATAAATAACTAAATCTTGACATTTTCGAGAGGACCGAACACCTTTTTTTAAATCTATAAAATTAATGCAAACTGCACATGCAAAGAGGAAAACATTGGTCCAGAATCAACTTACAGTAGTCGAGAAGAAGGAATATTCTGCCGTTAACACAGTTAACTTGAGATCTGATATCGTGTGAAACCACCACATCGTACCTGATCTCGTCTCCTCCTTCCACAAACTCCGTCTCGTCTCTTCTAACCAGATTCAACTGAAGAGTGTGAGTTTGGGTGAGATTTTATTTTTAAGGGTTCCTTTCTCTCTTTTTGAAAATATATAGTTTTTATTGTTGTGCTTAGTGGAATGAAAATTGAGTTTCGTGGCATTTGTGGTTTTCACTTTAGATAACAAACTCGTTTGTTGCATAATGTTTATTCGCTGACCTTTTATTGTTAAAATTTTTTGATCTAGAATTCTCAATAATTCAATTTCTATGAATCAATAGAAATACTTTTCCCTTACCGTCACGGATCAAAATCATGCACAATTTCCCTTGTTAAACTTCCGATAAAAAGATGTACAATGACACATGCTACATTATGAGTGATGTACGATCAGTAAAAACACCATTTAACTACACAGCCGGCGCTTATTTTAAACCTGTTACACTCTACTTGCTTGTGAATTTGCTTGCTGATATTCTCTTTTTTCGGTCAGCTGCATTTCTATATCTTATTGTGCAACAGGTTTTAAAGCACAGTAACAAGTACAGTGCTGTGATAAAAGGAAGAGATATAGAAATTGCAGTGCTGTTTGATGGGACTGAGGGTGGAACGGGGCTAGATCATCACTGATATGGAACTGAACGAGCCGACTAAATGTGATCAAATAATCAGAGACGATATTTACAGAGAATTGTAATCTTTTTACAAAAGGAGTTTAAAATAGAGTTGTGTTTTTCACTTGAGAAAGTGGATCAAAGGCTGCCGGGAATTGACGGATGGTTAGCACTAACCAGCAAATTGCACTCATCCTTCCAGGAAACAGCAAAAGTTTTAGTTCTTTCACCGTCCAGGGTGGTGTATACAAGGCTGAGGTCAGCGAATGGAAATGGGCTTTTTTCTAACTTTATCTTTAGGGAAACTTTATCCTTCTCGGTTTTTCTGAGGGCGTAAAAATAATGCGGTGACATTCTACGATGCATGAGAAATACTATTTTGTTTACAAAAGAAATGTCCAATTAAGTTTCAACGAAAATCAAGTAATCTTTTAGAAGTTAGAAATCATAGGAACAAGAAACTCACAAATTATCAGGTCTATTATAGACTTCCCCCAAGTTAACTTCAGCAGCGGCGTTACTTATAATTACAGCGTTTTGATGAGTGGAAGTCAGGGAGAGATGATCAATCTGACACTCCTTTATTAAGATACCCATTCCCACATTCAGGGTTATTATCAGTGATGAGAGCTTTCCTTCTGGTACTTCCACTTCCACTCTGAAAAAACAATGTGTCAGCTTACCTCTTTCAACTGTAGATTTAGGATACTCTCGACAAAATACATTGTCAGGAATCAGAAAGCGAATTAGGGGTTTTTTAAAAATTAAGCAGTCATATGATCTGGTAACACGAACACCTGTTCGGCGAACAACTGTTCGCGAACAGGGGTCGGGCTATCTAGACACTGCCCGAGTTTTAATACCTCTTAATATAGACTTAGACTATTATTTATTAGACCATCCTTTCGATTCTTACATTGTTTCAGCCTTGAAATCTATTTTAAACTTTCAACAGCTGATTCTTTCCAGCAACTAACCTGAATACCAGGTGTGCTGGATAATTACCCGTTAGCTCTTCAGTTTAATGATATTTGTATTATCTGGGTACCAATGGACCAGTGCACCACATACCATTAGCCTAACTTTGTTTTATTCGCCTCCCTGCTTTCAGCTGCATTGTCCCTACATAGTCCTTACATACCTAACTTTCTGATCAACAAAACATTTGATGTCTAACTTTAAATTAGTATTTGTGATTTTGTTTTTCTCTGGGTTCACAGTAATAACATCAATCAAGTAAGTGATTTAAAATCGTACTATTTATCAATCAATACTATTCTACAGTTCAGTGATTTGCTTGAAAATAAGAAAAGCAATAAATTGGCTCAGCAGGAAAACCATAATCGGCGACAATCTGTAGACATATACAAAGTCCCATTACAGATATGCTGATAGAAAAGACAAGACTGTGGACCTTTCATTTGCATCAAAAATGGTCAAGATGTATCTTTGCTCGGGAAATCAGGACTGGGGAATCACCATTCACAGCGAAGAAGAAGACTACTTTGTCATCAACCAGGTACAGTGCAAACTGCTGATAATTTACACTGTTACTTTCCAGCAGAAATGCTACCGTGGATGTTCCAAAATTGAATGAACTGGGGAACCAAAAGCGATTTTTATAATTTTCCTAAATTTTGTATCAGCTTTTCAGGATCGTGACAGAGAAAATGTGCAGCAAAAGAAACGACCATACCAAAATATTAGATATCATGAACGTCAAAGCGTATGAAGACTGGTTTCAAAGGAAGAAAGAGAACGATAAGAATGAAATTCGTAAATGTATTTCCACCAATCTCCTTCATTCCATGCGGTTAATGGTATGTTGCGAAGATGTTTCCAAAAAAATTCTGGATACCATCTTTTCGTTGTTCTGCTCTCATCGATATCAACGCGGTAATGAAAATTTTGAGTGCATGATTCTCGAATACATCATCAGACGTGATATTAAAATACAAGTTTTTGATATCATCGAAAGATCAAACATTTGTGATGACAGATGTCCAATGCATCTAGCTACAAGAAAAAGACACACCACAAGGTATTTGGATAGAATCTCGAAAAGGCAGTTTGACATGGCCAGCACTATCGACAATATTGAGCAACTTATGTGCAGTGATACCCTTGATGCTTCAGTTGGAGATCTTTGGAGCGACATGCTGAGATATCGAAATGAGGATCAGAACCTGATTGATATGGTCATGTACATGTCTTTGGTCAGAAAACCATCTTGCTGTCTGGTTTTGCATCTCCTAGAGGATGACTAAACGACTGTGACTGGAAGGACCTGTACTGAAATTATTGATTATGTGATGCTAAGCTCTTCCATTATTGAACATTTTAAATTAAAAATTGAATTATTTTACAACATGATTCGTATGTTTGGATTTACTTATTTGCTTCTAATCATTAATTCTATTGTTTTTCCTGTCTAAATTTCCTATTGAAGCATTATAAAACTGTCAAATTCTTAAGTCATTACCTATAGCAGATTGTGCCTTGTCATCTCAAGTAAATTGTGCGATTTGGAAACAACAAGAATTTCAATTTACAATTTACAAAACTACCACAAACCAATATGTTGCATGTACCACTCCTTTGAAAATACCACATAAATATCACTATGCAGAATATACCAATGTGGTATTACCACATTAATGAAAATACCAAATACCAATTATATAACATGAAATATACCACATTAATGAAAATGCCACATTTATGATAATGCCACAATATAACAATTTGTAGCTTATTCAACATTAATAATAATGCCACATTACATACCAATATATTGCATATTCAACAGTTATGATAGTTATTAATGCCATATATAATCAGCATATTAATGAATAAACGGTTCATTTTAAGAGAGGTACATTTACAAGAGATAGGTGACCAACAAACTACTCAGTAAGTCAGTACTCACCTTGATAAAAATTTATCAATGGCTCCATAAGATCACTTAACGTTACTTGCAAAAATGGGAGAAATTGTTTAAAAAGAGGTTGATAATATAAGTGGCATCCACCTTATATCTTATCTTACCTGTACTCGTAAATATTTCCCTGACTGCCCACATCCCACAGAGACACAGCAGGTTTAGCCAACTGAATCTCATCAGACTCGAATGTGGTTGTGTAAATGTAGTTGAGGCTGGGCTCATTATCACTGGACATGTACTCCACCTTGCCTCCACATGTCACAGCACGTGACACCAGTACATCTTGCTTCAATTCCGCCCTGAAGAGGCAAATTTATTAACATTGGGTTAACATTCCCGGGTCGTTTTAGAGGGAATATTTATTCTATCACAAAGTATCATGCGGTGTATTCAGGTCGTCTGATTTGAAAGATGGCAATATATAAATATTAGATGCCCAACTAAATTTGTTCAGTTTTCTCACTATTCTAACTCAGATAATACAATATGTACAACCTAAATCAACACAAAAACCAGTAAATTATAAACAAACTAACCTAACGATGTAAAACCAGTAAATTATAAACAAACTAACCTAATGATGTAAAACCAGTAAATTATTAACAAACTAACCTAACGATGGCAGCGAAGGTCTCTCCAACAGAGAGCCTTGCGAACCTAACAGAGACAGCGCCCTGCTTCAAACCAAGAGGAGGAGGCGTCATTATATTGAAACTCAGCACGTTCAACTCTTCACACACCTGTTTAAGTAACAGTTTGAGAACAGAAAATGTCCAGTGTGATTATAACGATTCGTTCAGACATTATAGTCGATTGTCTTAATTTAACTTTTAGCAAAAATGTCAAAGTCACATACGAGTCAAAGGTAATACCACAATGTTTATACAAAATATCTGAGAAACTTACAAGTTCCACAGTAATGTTATAAGCAGGGGCAGATGATTGGGCAGTGTGCCAAAGTTTGAGGTCGAACAGTGTTAGATCCTTTGCGTCACGTGACCTCTCCAACGATGGAATGATGCTGAATTCTGTCTTCAGATCAGGTCCTGAAGGCAGATTGTTATAGCAAATCTGCTTATTTATTTGTGATTATTTATAATTCTAATTTCATTATATCTCGAGAAAAGAATTGCGACATTTGCTATGAATAATATAAATTTACAACATCAATGATTACTCACCAGAGAGATTAAGATATTTAGTATCATCGAAACGTTCAAAATTAGGAGCACGATAAGTTTTAAGAAATTTAATATTAATACTTGGGAAAAATTTATTATTCAACATTGAAATTCATGACTTAACAGCACAGTAACTTACCAGATTGGATGTCCACCAAGGATAATAGGAGATTTGTGAGGGTGATTGAAGAGCGGGAGGGTTGAGTTCTTTGATGTGACATCTGGGTGAGAGTAGCGGAGATAAAGCAGAAGACAGTAAGCCAGGGTGTTGGTTTTTCCTAAAGGGTCGTAATGTGTGACTATTTTTTTCTGCTTGTTGATGTTTTGGAGTCCTGGTTGCTTGTTTTTACTCCTCCTTTCTGTGTAGGTAATCTTGTGGGAGTTACTGGTTGTTTGTATCGTGATGGAGTCGCTACTCATCTGATAAAGTTCATCTCCACCTCTTATAGCGAAAGTTTTGGTCATTAGATAAATGAGAGTGAAGAGCAGTTTGTTTCCTGTCTCTACACCGAAAGCTTTTCTCCATAGTAGCTTCTCATCCGATTCTGTGATGATGTCTGCTTTTTTCACTGTAGTATCCTCCTCAGATTGTTTTGTTTTACAGTATCCATCGAGAACATTACGGAAATGAGCAAACCGTTTCGTTGTGAAAAGGTCCAAATCTTCGTCCCAATCCCTCAATCTTCGGTTTAAAGCGGTAAAGACAGAATACATAGTCTTCATCTTCAAGTCAAATCCAACAGAAACAAGAAAGCACTCTAAAATGTAGTTGAGTCGTTCAACAGGAATTTGGTCAAAGTCATTGAAGTCACGAGCAAATCTGGATGACTGAAGCCAAGAATTAAATTTGTTTAGAGCCCAGTTGTTGACTCTAACTGTACTGTCCGGAACACGATTGGAAAGCAGTTCATCAATCTGAATGTCAAACCGATCTGTCATAGTGGAGCAATAGCTTGAACGTTAGCAGGAACAAGAGCTGGAAGGAGAGCAAGCAAAACAATACTATTTTTAGGGCACGGACAAGGGTAGCTGGCTAGTCGCCAACTTCTCACGCCACGCGTTGGAGAAATTCCAAGAATTAGCTGCTTTGGCAACGTTCCCAGGAATTTGCGTTTAAAAGAAGTGGACGGTTACGATGTTTCATATCACGTGGTGCGCTTTCGTGTCACGTGGTATAGACTCGGCGTATGCTATTGGTGGCACGTGGTACGCACGTGACGCGCCCACGTGATCGCGCGTCTAACTGTTCTACTATTATCGAGTTCTAATCAGCAGTATCATTGATTATTGTAAGTCGGAGAATTGAATGATAAACATCAGTTACGACTAAAAAGCGGGCCGGGTTTATACGAATTTGCGGGGCGGGATGATATCACCTTGAGATGTTTATCTAACAGCGGGCCGGGTTGAGTGATAATATGATCCCGCGTCGAAATCCCGGAGATATTTATATAATATGAAATATACCACATTAATGAAAATGCCACATTTATGATAATGCCACAATATAACAATTTGTAGCTTATTCAACATTAATAATAATGCCACATTACATACCAATATATTGCATATTCAACAGTTATGATAGTTATTAATGCCATATATAATCAGCATATTAATGAGTAAACGGTTCATTTTAAGAGAGGTACATTTACAAGAGATAGGTGACCAACAAACTACTCAGTAAGTCAGTACTCACCTTGATAAAAATTTATCAATGGCTCCATAAGATCACTTAACGTTACTTGCAAAAATGGGAGAAATTGTTTAAAAAGAGGTTGATAATATAAGTGGCATCCACCTTATATCTTATCTTACCTGTAATCGTAAATATTTCCCTGACTGCCCACATCCCACAGAGACACAGCAGGTTTAGCCAACTGAATCTCATCAGACTCGAATGTGGTTGTGTAAATGTAGTTGAGGCTGGGCTCATTATCACTGGACATGTACTCCACCTTGCCTCCACATGTCACAGCACGTGACACCAGTACATCTTGCTTCAATTCCGCCCTGAAGAGGCAAATTTATTAACATTGGGTTAACATTCCCGGGTCGTTTTAGAGGGAATTTTTATTCTATCACAAAGTATCATGCGGTGTATTCAGGTCGTCTGATTTGAAAGATGGCAATAATATAAATATTAGATGCCCAACTAAATTTGTTCAGTTTTCTCACTATTCTAACTCAGATAATACAATATGTACAACCTAAATCAACACAAAAACCAGTAAATTATAAACAAACTAACCTAACGATGTAAAACCAGTAAATTATAAACAAACTAACCTAATGATGTAAAACCAGTAAATTATAAACAAACTAACCTAACGCTGTAAAACCAGTAAATTATTAACAAACTAACCTAACGATGGCAGTGAAGGTCTCTCCAACAGAGAGCCTTGCGAACCTAACAGAGACAGCGCCCTGCTTCAAACCAAGAGGAGGAGGCGTCATTATATTGAAACTCAGCACGTTCAACTCTTCACACACCTGTTTAAGTAACAGTTTGAGAACAGAAAATGTCCAGTGTGATTATAACGATTCGTTCAGACATTATAGTCGATTGTCTTAATTTAACTTTTAGCAAAAATTTCAAAGTCACATACGAGTCAAAGGTAATACCACAATGTTTATACAAAATATCTGAGAAACTTACAAGTTCCACAGTAATGTTATAAGCAGGGGCAGATGATTGGGCAGTGTGCCAAAGTTTGAGGTCGAACAGTGTTAGATCCTTTGCGTCACGTGACCTCTCCAACGATGGAATGATGCTGAATTCTGTCTTCAGATCAGGTCCTGAAGGCAGATTGTTATAGCAAATCTGCTTATTTATTTGTGATTATTTATAATTCTAATTTCATTATATCTCGAGAAAAGAATTGCGACATTTGCTATGAATAATATAAATTTACAACATCAATGATTACTCACCAGAGAGATTAAGATATTTAGTATCATCGAAACGTTCAAAATTAGGAGCCAGTCCAAAGTCTACAGTGTAAGTCAGAGGAAATTTAGTATTCTGACATTGTAACATTGAGAAAAGCGACCTAAACGTAACTCTCTGAGTCAACAGATCTCCTTTATCCGTGAAGGAATTAGCCCTGTTGTCAGTCTGCAGCCAGATCTCCAACAGCCGGTTACTGGTTTGATGATTGGGAATGGTTGTTAGGAAAACATCGTCCCCTACCACCGGACTCGGCACTTCAACAACCTCAAATAACTTATCACCGTTACACTCGGGCAGTTGTAATCTGATGACAAAGTCTGTTAGCATCTCCGATGTGATCACCTCTATCCCAAAAACGAACTCTTCGCCAATAGTGATCTTCCCGGCAACTTTGTTCTCAATGAATGAGGTGAACGTAGGCTGGTCTATCTTAGTTTCGGGTAGAGAGAATGAGCCTGAGTAGACCTTTCCATTTTCACGAGCAGAAAAGTATTGATAACTCCAAGAGGCAGTTGTATCGGTGGATAGTGTTACCCCTTCAGCCGTTCCAGAAACATTGAACGTTGTGTCTGAGTCCAGTTGAGGCACAAGAAGAGTGAATCCGTCGTTATTTTGGGTGATTCTACTGTCACTGGTGGTAAATTTCACGAAATCATTGAAAACCCTGACTGACAGGCCGTATACAGGGATGGGCTTGTCAAATTGAAGAGATATTTTGTAGGTGAACTCTGTTTTGCATTGAACAGTCGGTGTAGAAGCTGTGATAGTGATATCAACATCTGCATCTGCTATCTCGATAGAAGGGTTGGTGGTTTCTTCCATGATCAAGTCAGAATCACACATCTTGAAAGACGATCTCAGTACAAATGTATGAATCCTCCCTGGGTTTTCAACCTCAGAATCAAAGACAACTTCCAAATTTTCGACTTTTTGGTTGGGTGAATCGAAGTGAATTCTGACCTTCTGACCTTCTGTTTTAACAGATATTGGCAATTGGGAAGATGTCACAACAGACTGAAATATTATCTCAGTGCTGGGGAGGGTAATTGTGGCGTTGTATTCACAGATGTCAGCATCCCTTACGGGGATTATCTTCAGGGAGAAGGGGTGTTTTACAGCGGCACAGGACGGCAGGAACTCGGTACCAATGTCACTTGAGTGGATCTTCAAGCCAATGCTTTCCTTCGATGATACCAAACCATACCTGGCAATATTGAACGGTTATGAAATGGCGTTTAAACATTATTTGCCAGCAATTCCGTACAGAAAATCTCCTTGAAAATACTATTATAAGCTAGGTAAAAGAAAGATTCGAATATGAAATTACGTTTGACAGAAAGAGGCTGGACAACTTTGATAGGAGTAAGTGACAAGAAGTTTCATCTTGTTTTGAAGCATGTCATCTGAGGTGGGTGTAGCTGATATCTGTATTTTTAGAACCTCTCCAACTCCCAGGTGATCTTCTGATATCTGTGAGGGAAATACAAATAAAATCTGTTTCTGATAAGTTGATCCAGAATGAATTTAATCTTATGAGCTTGTTGGATAGCATTTTGTGAGGGTATAGATATTTCTGAATAATTGCAACTACCTTTAGTAGTCTCACACTAGGGCTCACACAATATGTACTCACACGTGTACTCACACGTGTACTCACACGTGTACTCACACGTGGGCTCACAAGTGTACTCACACGAGGGCTCACACGTGTACTCACACGTGTACTCACATGTGTGCTCACACGTGTACTCACACGTGTACTCACACGTGTACTCACACGTGGGCTCACACGTGGGCTCATACGTGGGCTCACACGTGTATTCACACGTGTACTCACATGTGTGCTCACACGTGGCCTCACACGTGGCCTCACACGTGGGCTCACACGTGTACTCACACGTGTACTCACACGTGGGCTCACACGTGGGCTCACACGTGTACTCACACGTGGGCTCACACGTGGGCTCACACGTGTACTCACACGTGTAATCACACGAGGGCTCACACGTGTACTCACACGTGTACTCACACGAGGGCCCACCAATAACTCACCTGAACCTTCCTTCCAGAAAGCTGAGAAACAGACAAACTCTGCTCCTCACAGTTCAAAATCCCCGGAACAGACAACTCCACATTGAGCAGTATCTGATGGGCGTCAGCTACTGAGCCAGGCAGGTGTGTGACAGTAAGGAGGTAGGACACAGCCTCACCCAGGGTCACGTACTCTGCTTCACTTGAGGTTATCTCCACTTGTAGTGCCGGGTGCTGTACTACCATCTGTTTTTCTAGTTTTTCTAGTGATTTCGTCTTGCTGTCTGTTTTGTACGTTAGACCTGGAAGATGAGGTTATCTGTTAGTTGTGGCTGTGTTGAATACAGGGTGGCCCAAAAGTGACTACCCACACGCAACCTTTTAATAACTCACGTAATTCGTCTTCAAATTGCACCAAAATTTCAGAGATTATAGATATGGGTCAAACTTAGATTTCCTGAAAGTTTCGTAAGCCACGCCCAATTACAGTGGGCGTGGCGTGACACTCCCTCTTTTTCACTATTGTCTTCATAAAATGAGAACGCTTTAAGCTAAGAACTCCAATTTTTTTGCACACATTTTGCTTGATAATTTAAAACCCTTCCCAAAGTTTCAAGTTCAATGTTCAAAATTTGGCTGAGTTATGACCATTTCAAAATTCATCGGAAACGTGATCCGAGCACTCAGTCAGTGATCTCTGCACTTGGTTAATGGCCTGTTTGGCTCACATGCACCGCTTGATTGGTTGCAGGGCTTGTTAGCCCTGCTAGTCACAGGTTCGTTCCTTACAATCGATAAAAAGGAATGAACTATCCATTGAATTATCGAAAATGGTTCACTATCCTCCCTATACTGCGGAACAACGATTGTTTGTCTACCTGAACAAAGAGAATGGGGAGTTCTGTCCTCAGCTTAAACGACAATTTCAAATGAAATTCAACCGACCATCCCCTTGCCGGAAAAGCTGCTTTGATATGCATCACAAGATCAAGTTCACTTTTTCTGCGAACGATCGGCGAAGAGTCGGCAGAAGACGAACTGCGAGGACTGAAGAAAACATCACCATGGTTGTTTGTGACGTGATGGATACACCTAAAATTGGCACCCGAAAACGAGCTCCTGCCTTAGACCTCAGCAGAACATCCCTTCAACGAATCCTAAAGCAAGATCTTTCTAACCGGGCCTATCGGATCACAAAGAAACACCAACTTTTAGACCGTGATTCCTGATTTTTCTGAAAAGGTCACGATCTGGTGCGCTATCAGTTCTCGTGGAATCCTAGGACCTTACTTTTACGAAGAATTTGGTGTTTTCCTGTCTAGCAAAGTCATTATCGGTATCCAATCAATCATGATCAGGTCGTCATCTCCTCAGTATGTTTGGTAAAGCCTAATGAACCTCATTAATACAGCTAACGCCTTACTCTTGATCAGATTGGGTGAGGAGATCACTGATTGAGTGCAGAGATCACTGACTGAGTGCTCGGATCACATTTCCGATGAATTTTGAAATGGTCATAACTCAGCCAAATTTTGAACAAAGAACTTGAAACTTTGGGAAAGGTTTTAAATTATCAAGCCAAATGTGTGCAAAAAATTTGGAGTTCTTAGCTTAAAGCGTTCTCATTTTATGAAGACAATAGTGAAAAAGAGGGAGTGTCACGCCACGCCCACTGTAATTGGGCGTGGCTTACGAAACTTTCAGGAAATCTAAGTTTGACCCATATCTATAATCTCTGAAATTTTTGTGCAATTTGGAGACGAATTACGTGAGTTATTAAGAGGTTGCGTGTGGGTAGTCACTTGTGGGCCACCCTGTATAATCTATCTTGGATTTATAGTTTCGAGCAATTGTAGGTAATAACGTCTGCTGTTGATGCATTTGAACTTTGAGGGCAAATCAAGATACCTTAGTGGCATGAAAAATATACTAAATTTGTTTACAAAAAACAGGAAATGAACATGAAGTGAACATAAAATGAACAGGAAATGAACATGAAATGGACAGGAAATGAAAGGGAAATGAACAGGAAATGAAAGGGAAATGAACAGGAAATGAACAGGAAATGAAAGGGAAATAAACATGAAATGAACAGTAAATGAACAGTAAATGAACATGAAATGAACAGGACATGAACAGGAAATGAACAGGAAATGAACAGGAAATGAACAGGAAATGAACAGTGGTTATTACCGGCAATCATCAAGATGCTATTCCGAGTTTGTAACGAAGGTTTAACACGTGCAGTGATAGTGTACAAAACTCTTGTTTCTTCTTCTAATACCCCTTCACTGCAGAGTAATTTTACATTTACGTACGTGATCCATTTTATTAAAAAAATTTCTTAACAACTTTCTCATGAATGATCTCATCGATGATGAGCAAGTAAGATCGGGGGCCTAGTTGATCATGTTATAGTAAATTAATGGCAAATCGTTAAATGCAGTTAAATTTTGTTATTGAAGGACAAAAAGTATATTCTTGCTTTTCTTACCCCTCTATGATAACCATATTATCCGTGATTGTTTTACTCCCTTCGATAGCTTTGTTGTCTTCTGTCACACTGATAAACGTCAACGAGGAACTCACTCCGAAAACAGCAGAAAACTCGACCTAGAATTTTATTGCAGTTGGTGAATGGTGATTTAACTCGACATAGCAACTAGCATGCAATATCTATCTAGGTTTGGGTTTCAAGCACAGTTCAACTGTATGAAACGTGATTTTAGTTTACCGAACAAAAATAACATTTAAGAAAGAAGAGGAGCAAGGCATTCAACCTGCAAAAGCATCATGTTAGTGTTACCCCTGATAATTGATAAACTGCTTACCTTATAGTTAACCAGAAGAGGTGGAAGCTCCACTGACAGGGTGACATTGAAGGGGACCCCAACCAAACTAGCTTCAGGGTAATCTACCAGTGTTAGCACTGGGTACTTTAGCTTCACTGGTACGATCAGATTACCTGAAGGTTTTGGGAGTAGACACATGTCTTACACAAACTTATTCATTTAAAGTTATTTCATAATTTGTTGTTGAAACTAAAGAAAGTATTATTCCGGGTAATTATACATTAATCCGTTATACATTAAGCCAATGTACATAGTTTTTGATATCTTTTTTTAACTCAGACAAACTCCATTTAAATATGATGATTTACTCTGAACAGTATCCAGCTGTCTGCCGTTATTCTGAATGGGAGCACTGTAGGACACCACACTCATGTCCATGTTGAGTTTATCTGGAGGAAGGGTGTTGTGGAGATACACCCCAAACCTGCCCACTATCACGTGACCTGGTTTTAACTCGTCTGCCTGGAAGTGTATCAGTTCCACTCCGTCTTGTTCCACCTGGGAGGGGTTGGGTTAGCTGGAAGTGTATCAGTTCCACTCCGTCTTGTTCCACCTGGGAGGGGTTCGGTTAGCTGGACGAGCTGGAAATGATACTTATTATCGTGATACGAAAAATTGTTTACAGTAAAATTGGGCAAGGCAAATCTCGAAATCAAGGTTGTAATGTGAAAAAATGATTTTCTAAATGGTGAAAAGCGAAAGCTATAAAATTGTTGGTTTGAAGTTCAATTTAAATCATGTAATAGTTACCACAACGATGCTGACACTGTTGGGGTTGGTAGTTGCAGTTCGGAAGTTAGGAGAAGCATCCCTAACACTGCAGGTTATAGAGATGTTGTAGACTGGTGTGGCTGATGTCACTGGTAGTTTGACGCTGAAGATTATAGCTGGCTCGTCTTTGCTCTGGTACAACATTCTCGAATCTTCAGGTTCAAATGTCTGGAGACAGGTTTTAAATAAAAGCAATGTATAAACTGAAAAGGGGACCACTCATAACTCATAAGACATAAGGCAATAGTACTAGCAGGAGCTTATCATAAGTACTAATCAAAGTAAATTAAATGCAAGTCTATAGGAGAGTAATTCTTATTACCTGGATACGAGGAAGTTCGGGTTTCACAACTTGCAGAGATTCCTTCACGAAATTGAACTGATTATCTGAAATAAGACGACATTAAACAAGCTGAAACAAGGAAGTTATATCATTGGTTGAAGTTGACTATCATGGTTGAAGTTGACTATTTAATATTTTGAACAATTCTATTTTATATTCATTTATTGCTGATTGCTGTACTCTGTAAAATTTGAAAAGTATTTAGTAAAAAAATAGGTCTGACGTATTCCATTAAAAATACAAAAACTAAACGGTAAGTTAAAATCTCTCACCAAGCTGCTCCTTGATTTGCAGAGTGAGAACATTGAAGTTTTGTATGGTGTACATATTCCTCACTCTGAGATCTAACGAAACTATTATCTCGGAGTCAGTGCTTCCTGAAATAACAGTTGAAAGATTCAATTCTTTTCATATCAATACATATTATATACAGATCCATTCCACAATCTGCCACAATCAATCGGTCGACTATTCTGTTATATTAATATGGTAAATCAGTCTCTTGGACAAATCTGAGGATTATGTAAATTTATATAAATCAAACCTGCTGGCACATCGACATTTCCAAAGTTGATGGACAGAACACCATCAATGATATTGATGAAGTTATTTGATTCAACTGTGTCACCAGCAGTGATAGACTTACTAACTACATTTGATCCAATATACCTGAAAATCAATATAATTTCTGTTAAGATTGTGTGTATTCTTCAATAAAAATCCTGTTGCTCAATATCTATAACTTTAATCACGATAATAAAACTTGTAAGAACAGAATCTTACCTAACTATGCAATTCTCGAGGTTGAGCATAGGTTGGTTTATCTGTGAGTTGGTAAAGTAGGGTGGAACCACTTCAATTATCAAAGGACAGCTGACACAATTATCAGGCTTCACAGTTATAACCATAGGGAAGGATAGTCCAATTCCAACATGATTACCGTAAGGTAAGAAAACAGAAACCTCTGACAAAACTGAAATGTTTTATTATTACAATATGACGAAACAGTTCACAATTCAAAAATGCGAATGAAGATGATAAATATAATAAGGAAAATATTTGTTTCATATTTCCCAATATGAATAAATAGCATCATTCTCCCTTTATTTTAAATGAATGAATGCTAATATATTCAGTTACTATGTGCAGTATTACCTGTGCAAATCCATGTAGCAATGACAAGAAGGACTTGTGTGTTGATCATTATCTTCACTCTTTCTTAACTGTAAATTACAATCCACTGATGAGGTCTGTTCACCTGACCCATGAACATTTGCCCTATAAGGAAACTAAGAGTATCATTGGCAGGCTCAAGTAAATTGAATTTGAAAGTCCTGACAGTTGTTCTTTGGATGCACAGCCAAGATGGACTAGAAACAACAAAAGACTGCATCTATCATAACAAGCAAAACAAGAAGACAAGAAATTTTAAATGTGTGCCAATTTTACAAACGAATCTCCTCAGGAATAATGTAACAAATGTGGATAAATCGATGAGTTGGCCTGGTTAATGAATATCACTCCACAATGATTCTGTTAAGGTTGACTGGGTACAGGAGTTTTTGGACTAAGGTATACGGCATGTTCCACCATGGTAAACCATGATTGAACGCTAGATTGTTCTTTTTGTTCATTGTTGCTTTGAATGAGTAAACATGTAAATTAAATACAATCCTGGCAACTCTTCCCGCATCACAAACTTTCTGAATGCTTCATTTGTTAACCTTTCAGTAAATTCTTGTATAGTTATAACCTACCAATGAGCACACATTCAGAATTATGGCAGATAGGCAGATAGGCAGATAATCTGAGAGGACCTTTTTTTTCTACGGCATAAGAAAAGTTTTAGGGGGAAACATTGATCTGCGAGGAAATTTAAAAATTTCTGGATGTGGCCCAATGAGTTGCTCCCAGCTTTCATTACATCGTTGAATAAACTATTGAAAGGGTATCGTCCCATCAATGAAGATCGTTACAAAATTACTTCATATTACTTTATATTACTTTATCTTTTGCACTAAATATGGTGCTATAACAATACAATTTTGTTTAAAAAAACATATATATGCCCATATTATATATGACTAGAAAACCCGTGGTCACAGCGAGGAACCTAATAGTATTCTTTGGCAGTCAGTTTTAATCGTGTCAAAAAGTATTCATCCCCACCGAAGATACAGCTGATTAAAATGTTGCTCGCACTACACACAACGTAAGTAAAACAAAATTTAAATTTTATTGCCATTACAATGAATAATGATATCATAAGGGCTCGTTCACATATCACGTAAGCAGCCGAGGGGGGAAGGGGGGGTTTACAAATGCTTACGGTTGATTACGGGGGGGGGGGGGGGGGGGTTCGGTCGTTGATTACGTAATCAAAATTTTATTTTTTTCCCTCTAGAATAATAACAATTTGACGATATTTTAATTCAAATTCCACTCAATTTCACTCTGATAATGATAAAATTTAGAAGTTGATCGAATATCCGGCTATAATAGTAAGTAGTTTAGAAGGTGCTTGGCCGGATATCATAACAATGATTTCGGCTCATCATTTTTTTTTTTGAACATTTAAAATATAATTTGGAACATTACAGTAACGTTATTCAAATCTCAAACAGAAAAAAGTATATTTCAAAGCTTTGTGTTTTGATCATATGATTATGGGTGTATAGTGATTTTGATTGCATAAATTTGATTGGGCAGTGATGGTGAGTGAGAAGATGATGGGAGTGCCAGCCAGTAACTCTGTCAAATGAACAGCCCACTGAGGAGTGGGTGAGCGCAAGCGCGAAAACGGCAGAGAGGGTGGCATAAAACGGAATACACGGCCACAGAAAAGACACACAAACTAAACCGTGCGCGGTAAGTTAGCCAGTGTCTGAAAGCTAGTGTTGCCCGGTAGGAGGCATCCAAAAGAGGTGCCGTGGTGAACTGAGGAGGAAAAGTTCGAATGCAATGCGAAGCAACTCAAACTGATGATGAAGAGGTAGACTGAACGGGAAGTAAAGAAAAAGGAAAAGGAAGGATCCAGCTGAGGTCTGGCTCATGTCAGGAAGTGATGAAAAGCTCACAGACAAAATCATCCGTGGCTGTCTACCCCGTACGTAGGCAGTGTCCGAGATTTCAGGCATCAGGATACACTGAAACAGTGCAGAGCTGATTACGACCAGGGTCCTCACGGATACCCCGCCTCGGAGGTCGAGCCAATGCCCTGCTTTCGATACTTATGTCTACTGGTGGAACCTTCATATTTTCTCTACTAGCAGTCACTGTAACCCTATCACTCGGAAGGCCCCACAGCTCCTACATGGACGCACAGCCGGGAGCCCATGTAGGGATAAAAGTAAACGCAAGCCTTCCATCACATCCATCACAGATTCAAAGCTGGGAGGAAAAAAGGGGGGAGAGGAAAAAAGAAGAAAGAATACAAAAATAGAAAACTGAGAAAGGAAACTAATTATCTGCTTTCAGACTGTCTTTGAAGTTGAGGGTTAGTCTGTAGATCTTGTTAATGGTGCTGGTTGAGAGTTTGATCAAACTTACGTCCTCATCACTGGGAGTATCCTTGCAATCAGACTGCGACATGAACGTGGAGGCAAGATTGAAGCTACCATTACCAACATCATGATAGCATGATCAGGGTAGCATGAAACGTAGAGAAAAGTGTTTTCTAGGAAAAAAGTCAAGGGGGGGGGGGGGGGGGGGGGGGTCAGGCCATGATTACGTAATATTGCTGTCAGGAGGGGGGGGGGGGGGTTGGGTCTTGATTACGGTTGATTACGGAAGGGGGGGAGGGGGGTAAAAATTGTAAAATATTGATTACGTAATATGTGAACGACCCCTAATAAATATAAGTAGACATCCGATAATAAACTTGTTAGGTCCAGTACAACCCAAGACATGTCGGAGCTTTACTAGCACCCGATTTACCACTTTTGGAGCAAAAACTCAAACCTAAAACCGGCCGAGCACAAACATATGTTATCGCCATGATTGGGTGGATTGATTCCCAAAATATTTATCAGCACGCAGCACCACTAATAATATGATTGATTGAAATAAATTTTCGTGCGCATACAGAATGAATGGTTAATAATTTAATATATATGTAGACCAAGCTCTGTGCACGGGATGCTTCCTGGAAGAATCCAGTTCTTTTAGCGGGGCACCCTACCTAAAGCCAAATTGAGATATAATAATCATATTCCTAGGGAAATAATCAGAAATCGAATACCAATCAAATAATATGATATATAGGAGTAGTAACCATATTTACTATGCAAAATGCCCCAACCTCATGGTGTAAATTTATATAAAATTCAAATTCCATATCATCATTAATATAAACCTTAATAGTCAATATAATAGCCCAAGCAAAATTAAATAACTTCTTATATACCTTACTGTCTTACTACCAATTAATTAAACATTTGAAATCTGTTAACCAGAGAATAAATTTCTAAACCTAATGCAAGTGAAATAATTTAGATGCAATAATGAATGCCTAATGTGAGTATCATCTGTCAATATCCTTGTAAAACAGTCTGTACAAGAGATATGAGTAACTAATATGAAGTTCATTATCGAATTTTAGACAGGCCATGGATTGTTTAACACATATAAGGGGTCGTTCACATATTACGTAATCAGCCGAGGGGGGGGGGGGTTCAAATGCTTACGGTTGATTTCGGGGGGGGGGGGGGGGGGGGGGGGGTTTGGTCGTTGATAAAAATTTTAATTTTTACCGATTTTCGAAATACCAATTGGAAATTTTCGTTAATAATAATTATGTAATCAAAATTTTCGTTTTTTAAACCAATTTTCGTTTAGTAAGTGTATCTCTACATCAAAATTTAACTCAAAAATGGGGGGGGGGGGGGGGGGGGTGTCTAATCTTTTTTTTGGGTGTCTAATCTTGATTACGTAATATAGGAGGGGGGTTGGGTCTTGATTACGGGGGGGGGGGGGTCAAACCTTGATTACGTAATATAGGGGGGGGGGGGGGGCGGTTCATACATAATATCAACAAAACTGATAAAAATGCCGTTCGCCAATCTTTGCACGTGCGTGTAATAACCCTCGTTACCATGGTTATTTTGCAACCTTTTGCTTTTTAGCTAATTTGCACGTGGGTGGTCGTACGTACAAAGATTGTACTAAGGGAATTCTCTGAATTATAAGTAAGATATACATTGCATTGTAAAACTAATTGTTTCGCTATCGTATTATTAAGTTATTTTGTGGCCTATTTAATTTGAGTTGTTGTGTTGGGTCACGAAATCCTCTCCGAACCTCCACGTGGTGTGGCCTGGTTGGCACTAACGGGTGGTGTGCTCTCTTGTTGAGTACAAAGGTTGGGACTTGCCAACTCAAAGTTCCCATAGGAACCAGGAAGTCAACACTAACAGCTACCAAGCACCAGGAAATTTCTCTTTCAGATATCAGGTTACAAGATAGTACACACACAAACGACGATACGTTAGACACAGATACATAGCTCTAAGAGCTATTAAATCACCAGGAAATTCTCTTTCAGCTTTCAGGTCCCATCGAAGTCACCCACCACAGAGATAGGGATTCCAATACGCTCATCCTGACTACAAGGACACACTGATAATGAGTAGTCTTGGCACTTCTCCCTCCAGTAACCACTTTTCAGGTCTTTCCAGTTAAGACAGCTAATGCGTTAGGGCTGACACACGCTAGACACAGGCTCGTGATAAGACAGTGTTAGGGATGTCAACTCTGACTACGAGGACACACTGATAGCGAGAATTCCTGGCACTTCTTCCTCCAGTAACCACTTTTCAGGGGACCGGGTTAGCTTTGCCACACTATTCATTGAAGTGTGACTGGACGCTCTACAATCATCTAGTAGCCAGCAGTGTTTGACTGACACCCCTACTGCAACTGGTTCTATTCAGTTCTACAGCGGAAGTTCTCAACACTCGAAAACAGTTCATCTCGGACATCCTGCAGAGATGCTTTTTCACAGCCTGCCCCATTACACGGGGAACCCTTAGATCTACAGTACCCTGGTGGACAGCATAGCTCACTAAAGCATAGTGGACCTCTTTAGTTCTGAGACGCAAAGCTAACCGGACCAGGAATAAACATCAATGCAATGCTTAGGGGATGCAAATAGGACATACAACGTTTAACGATTTACTCTAATTTTTGATTCATTTTTTAGCTCGACGATACATGGTATCATTTCAGGACAGATATTCCTTCTTCAGGTTCATTGAGGAAATCGTACCCGCTATTTGCGTTA